GAATGTGAGGGTGTAAGCGAGTGTGAGTGAGGGTGTTAAGTGAGTGTGAGCGGGGCATCAAACTCTAACTCAGCTAAAGTAAGTTGGGTGTTTTAAGTGGGTGAGGCCAATGGTTGTATATTTGGATCAAGTTGTGTACATCAGCGGGTGAGTTTAACGCCTCGTAGCTCTCATTCACTCTCACAACACTCCACCACCCTCACTCTCCCTCACTCCACCACCCTCACTCTCCCTCACTCCACCACCCTCACTCTCCCTCACTCATACTCTCTCTCTCCACCAGCCTCTCACTCCCTCACTCCTCACTCCACCCTCACTACGCTACTCATTAACCCACGACTAAACGTTATTACCTCATTTTATCTCATAGTTTAGCCAATCAGCCAATCAAAAATCTTCATTCTAGCCAATCAGAAGTCACCTAACCGGGAGATACCTGTTGGCCATGTATGACAGCAAGGGGTCAGTGTAGGCTTGGGGATGAAGGTGTGATGAATCATTGGGGGAAAAGTTTGACAGCACGCGGGATCTCACGTCACACTACTCATAGAACAGCTCACCTAGACGTCTATATCTCTTACCTGTTGGGCAGTGTCTGAGTTGTATGTAAATGAATTGAATGTTATGTATAGTATTTGTTATGTCCGATACCCGATTTATTTCCCCTGATGATTAACACCCAAACACCCCTCACATTACCTTACCTTACTTTACCTTACCTTACCTTACCTTACCTTACCTTACCTTACCTTACCTTACCTTACCTTACCTTACCTTACCTTACCTTACCTTACCTAACCTTACCTTACCTTACCTAACGTAACTTTACCTGGACCTTATCTAACTTGACCTTACCTAACTTAACCTAACCTTATCTCTAATTTTACCTAACCTAACCTAGCCTAAATTTAACTTGCCTAATATTACCTTATCTTACCTTACCTAACCCCTATAGGCACACTGCCATAAGTTTAAAACAACAACAACAACAACAACAATAATAATAATAATAATAATAATAATAATAATAATAATAATAATAATAATAATAATCATAATAATAATAACTACGGTCTAGCCATTTTTATTTCAACTCTATGCCATATATATTTAATAATAAAATTGATATACTCTGATGCTGTTCAGTACATACCAAGTAAGAACATATTCTTCCTTAGATGTATAATTCAAGTATCATATCCAATATCACCTGTAGACACACTCCAGGTTATCTGACAAGTTTCAGATAAGGACCCTGGAGCCGAGTCTTCTGGTGGTCGCAAGCTGTATGATGAAGCCAGAGACCAGTCACCATAGCACTACTGGATATAAGCGTCTTCTATGATGATTTTACTACCTTATTCGTTTATTTTCTGCTTAATAAACAAATCTTGTTTTTCCTCCTTAGATTACCTTGGAACGTAGGTCGGTTACACACATATTAAGACTTGTCATGATGGGATTTTACCATTACTCATCGCGGTTCATTTTTCCGCTTGATTTCCTGAATAACGTCAACATCTACTAGTCCTGAAATTCGAGGACAGACGTAGAAATAAAGTTTACATAGTGAATACACCATGAACTAAACGTCAATGAAGGGTAATAATAGTTCGGATTGGCAACAGAAGGCAAAGAGGATGTCGGGGAGTGAGGTGAGTCAGATTGGCTATGCAGGCATTTCCCGTAGAGCAATTAAGGTAATCATAGAAAACGCGGCCCTCTGGAGAAGACTAACTCCTGGATATTGATAGCTTGATCTATAGGTGACCATCGTTTTATTTTCAAGATTTTAAGTATGAAGATAATTTAGTACGGTGCCTATGAGGATATTAATGTTGTTATCTGATTAAATTGGTGGATATCTTGTGCAACTTGGTTTATCCACCTCTGAAGTATTCGGAGAGCATTTCCACCTATTGCACCATGTAAAGTAACTTAAACGAAGGCCTTATGGTCGCTATTCAGTTATATACTATGGCATAACACCTCGGCAGGGAGAGAGGTTGGTGGGTAACACAAATATTTACGTTCACCTACAATTTTACGTTTTCTTTCATTTCGTTTATCTTCTTAGAACTGATGTGTAAGAAAACGCCCCTTTCCGGGCCACTGAATTACCTAATAAGTAATGAATGTAAACAGACCGCTGATCATTCATTATGTATCAACCGTTACTCCCAAGAAAACGTATGGGTTTTGTTCAGACAACAGCAGAGGCAGTGGCGGACACAGTTTAATATACAGTCCACTGTAAATAGATTTTTATGCAGTAAATTTTATCACAGGATAGACCAACAGACAGCTAGTAAGCTGAGGGAAAACCTTCATACACATTCACATTATCAAGACTGACCCAAAGAAAGATGTTAAAAGGGAAAATTTTAATACGTTGTCAATGACCCCAACAGTGTAGTGTAAGACTAAGTAATATTGTAGAGATTTAAGATATGGTATCTGAAGGTAAATATTGTAACGCTGTTTGGCGATTATCAAATCTCTGGGGAAGGAGGGGGTCATAAGAAAAGTAAACCTTGAGTTAAGGAAAAACATCAAGCTGTTTTTAGCAGGTCCTCGACGCAAGACGCAAGACAAAACAAACAAGGAAGTGTAGATAGATGACTCAATCAGCACTTGCTATTATACTGTAGACGTACAAGGGAGAATTTAATAAAATCTAATAAGCACCTAAAATGCCATTATTCAGTAAGTGTTCATATCTAGATCATTAGCAACAACAACAGAAACAACAACAAAAACTATCAAAGTATGTCTGTACTATGAAATTAAAGAGAATGAGTTCATTAGTCCACTCCTGTTGTCCACAAATATTAACATGGAACCAGTCTACTTCAGCCGGACCCTCGAAAATTTGTGAAGGTTTCAGATGGAAAACAAAAGTTAGATTAATTTAGCAATTGTTAGGTCATAAAATGTTAAATTTATTTATTTTACATTGAATTTAGTTAATAATGGGAGTCAATTTACAGTAAAGGATATAATTCGATGTTTTGTTGTTGTTGTTGTTATGGTAAGTTCAGACAAAAAGATTTTTATGATGGGAGCATTTTACCAAAAACCGAAATATCGGGAGTTGAAAATCAGAAACTGCTTGTCTCATTATTATACCGGGAATATTACATGGATTGACATGTATAACGAATTTTTCATCCTTGCAGTTTTATTGAATAATTTATGATAAATGAAACCTCGTATTTTGTGTGATTTTGTAATGTGTCAGTATGTTAAGAGTTGAAAAGTTTTTCTTAGTAGAGTTCGATGGTTTGGAGGCTGCATAGTGCTTCGAGTATATATATATATATATATATATGAGCTAATCTAAAGTTTGCACCACAGGGAAAAAACAAGAGAGTACATAGTGGGTGGCGATGGCTTCTTCCTGGTGTTTGTGCTGGCCGGTGTGGTACCCTGAGCCCTGCCTATGCTGCTGAGGAATCGTGGCCGAGGATTGAGCGACTAGTGTGTATAACTCTGGGGATGTGCTCGCGCCTGAAGGTGTTGGTGTGTAAAGGACTGCTGCCTGTTGTGGTTGTGGGGGAGGACACCGCGGCTCCAAACAGTGACGTTCATTGACAGCCAGAGTAACTGCCAGACCTCAGCAGCCGGGTCCAAAGTACCAGACCATTCACCTAATTAAGTTTTATTAGGAATTGTTTATGTATTTTACTATTTCAACTTTACTGGGCGAAGTCGTATGCTAGTATTTGTGGAATAATTACCCAGTGGGTGACGTACAATGGCCAATAGTAGCTGGTTAGGTTAGGCTTTTTTCACATTTCTCAATCTACGAAGCCCTGGCCATCAAGGGTCATTATGCATTCATCAAACTTGCATTGCTAATTCTCTACTCCATTTTTCATTTTGAATAAAAAATATATTAAAAGTTGAATTTTTCGAAAAATTTCATTTCATTTCGACCATTTTCATTTGAAACGAGATTTACTGTCTAAAACGACATAAATTGGTTTTATTTCGACTTTAAAGGAAAGTTGCGACATAGTGTATTTCAATACATACACACTTGTCATCCGAAGTGGCTCTTTCTTCATCTCAAACGCCTTTATTATAAATTGCTGTTGGATTTAAGGAAGCATGAATTTATCGAAGTGGGTATTTACACCTGATAGTGCAAATAACAAAGGGTATAGAAGGGTAATTGGTTAATTTATAGTAGAGGGCAAAATTGATATTGTTTTTTTTTTTCATATTGGCAAGTTCAGACAAAAACAATACGATTTTCATCTATGACACTTTTGGCACATTTTACCCATAACCCAGATATCGGGAGTTGAAAATCAGACAACCTGCCACTGTGTTACAGAAAGTGACACCTACGGTCAGAAGCTGGTGGGCCAGGCAGGTCAGCACTGACAATGAGATCATGTTTCTGAGCAATGCAAGTGCATCGGCTGCTGTGGCCTAGATCCGATCCTGCGTTGAAAGTGCGAGTAACTTGGTGACCTGGGTGTTCGTTTATCGGAAATTTTTAATAATTTAATGACCATAGCTATCTATAGGATATTAGAAGGGAGATAAATTGAATGAGATTTATCTTGGTAAAAAAAGAAAGAAAAAATAATATATATATATATATATATATATATATATATATATATATATATATATATATATATATATATATATATATATATATATATATATGGGGATTGAGGAAAGCACAGGTTAGCGTAAAAAATTGTTGAGTATAACTTTTGACATTCCCTTTAAATGGCTCTTATTTACCATAATAACATTATCTACACTGCCTTATAAATATATGTTACAGGTAGGTGTGTGTTGGAGGTGTGTCCATGAGGTATGTTATCAGAAGAGGAGCCATATGGCCACCGTGAGTCATCGCTGATAACACCATAGAGAATGTACCGTCATGGCCTCTAGAGAAAACTTTTCTACTGTTCCTCGTATCAAAACAAATTAATCTATTGAGTTATGACAGCAGAAATGACACACGGTTTATCGCTGTTTGCTTGGTAAGAAGACTGATGAGTAAAATACATTAGATATACCATTTATGGTAAAGAGTGAGAGAGGAAACACGTAGCGGAAGTTCGGGCAGTGGAAATCCAACATGGCGTCAGACTTCGGAGACCAACTCCCTGATGAGGAAAAGGTTGAGTTATTTCTTAGTGTTTTGACATTAGAATTACCATTAAAGCATGTGTAAGAAAACATAAACTAATAACTGTTACATACACCTAGAAAGTTTGGTTGTGGTGCCCCCAGATATGTCTAAATACTATCTGTGGGCGTATCCTGCCTCGGACGGATACGAGACCGGCTTGTCAAAAATAACATATCACTAGCTGTAGTGTTGCTAGAGGAACTTAATATCCAGCCTGAGTGAAGATGATGGCCAACAGAGCCCTAGAGTGGCAGGTGAGGCGACACAGTGAATGTGAAATAAGAAATTGAGAGCAGATTAGGAGTGGTTGTGGGTGTTTGTTTACATTCTGGTTGTGTCACCTGCCAGGCCCTTAAGTTCTCTATACCACACTGTTAACCACCTTATTGCTTTACTAACTACCTTACTCTACCGTAATATATTCAGTGTGTGTGTGTAAGATTAGTATTTCCTTAAAAGTGATTCGTCAGGCCAGTGAGTATAAGAGTAGATAGACTTATAACACTGGTGATCCTTGACTCTTGATAAATTATCCAGATTTATGAGCACCATTAAGTAGTTTATAGGAATTGACACTTGGAGGGCGAGAACATCATTTTTGTCATCATTCAAACTATTTAGTCATCCAATATTACAGTGTTAGGTAATAGAGCTTATACTATGTTGATTGACTAGTACCTAATACAATCACCAGGGTCATGAGCTTCCGTGTACTGGGTGCCGAGCTTACCATGCAGTACCTTGGCTCTCAGTATCAACACTGTTGGTAGTAATCCATAACTTTGGTAGACATTAATATAGTTAATAATGATAAAAAGTTCAAAATGAATTAGGGTCAAGGAGAAGGTTGCCTCTTTTTACCTTGTTATTTTTTGACGAATGTTCGTGGATATTTGGTAAATGTTAAGAAAAGAGAATTTTGTATTTGTTAAATTTGGTCCTATAATTCTTTATGATAAATCTGGCAACATATGTGAAATCTACAGAAAATTCTATGACAATTTTCTTCTATGATATTTCTGTGGCAAATGCATAATAAAGAAGATAAGGCACTCGAAAGTTATGGTTAGGAAATTAACCTCGACATACCACCATTATCGAGTGACCCGCTTTTATCTTCAGAAATCCAGTTGCACTTGTAATTGTTGATTTGCGACAGTTTTGAAGGTCAAATTCATTCATAACGGCAAAATACACCAGAAAAATATGTTTTTGAATTGCTTGAAGATTATAGGACTAAAAGTAACTTACCGAAAGTGATTAGGTTAGGATGCATCTTTTAGTGACCAGACAAGGTTAGGCAGTGTGACCTACAGAAAAATCATGTTACATAGTGGCGACTGTTTCCTTAATTTGAGGTAATACCGGAGTTTATTTGCAACCCATAATTAAATAATGGGTTCATTTAATTTTGAATAAAATTTGTTAAAACATGAGAATTTGATATCTTGATTTTTTTAGGTTTGGTCCAAGTTAACCTGACCCTTGGTTTTATGTGAATTTTATTCCATACGAAAATAACACAACCCCTTTATAGCCCCTCTTTTATATATACACCCCCCCCCCCCAAAAAAAAAGAATTTTTAATGTCTCTCAAAATGGAACTAAGGGTTTTGAAGGTTCTGCAGGGAAGAACCCAATGAAATTTAACCTGATATGTGACTACCGGAATGCATTTACCAGCAAGATTAAGGGTACTACTCTGTTGTCATGGATAACAGTGGCACACAATAAGCAGCAACGTGATGAAACTTTTTCATAGAAGATAAATCATTACTTACCATCCTGAACACAGTGAATGGCCACTCACTGTGATGCCATTACTCCAATGTTTATATCCAGGATGTTCCATTTCATCCACAATACTTCCAGGACACTTTTAACAGTTCATTTCCTCCACAGGAACTCCTTGCTAGCTACTGATCTTTGTTTGATTTATCGGAGAGAAAATTAAACAAACCTAACTTGCGGTACCTAACCAAACTTAACCTAACCTAATGTAACCTTGGTTTGGAAGTTAGGTTGGTTTGTTATATTACTGATAAATTTTGTAATGTTGGAGGGCATTCAGTCCTATATACAGCTGCTCCTCGACTTAAGACGGGGTTAGGGACCCAAATCCAGTCTGTAAGTCGAAAATGCTTACTGGGTAAATAATACAGTACTTAGAAAATCTAAAATGGGCGTCTCTTTTTCTTCTCAGCACCACAAAACTCTCACTTTTAAGCTCGCCAGCCATTTTAAAGTGAATTACAAACGAAAATTTTGTCAGTACATGGCACAATCACTAAAGTTGGGACTCGAAAGTACGTAATTTGATAAAATTTTGGTAAGACTGAGGCGGTCGTATGTCCAGGTGGTCATAGGTCGAGTATGTCGTAAGTCGAGGAGTAGCTGTATATAAAAGTTCAAATTATGTAAGTTCAAAGTTAAAAAAACAATTCCATCATTCGATTTAAGAATTATATTTTTTTCCATTTTCATAATTTTCTCTTAGATAATAGTGGCTAGCCCATTGTAGCAGGTGTAAAGACCAACAATTTTAAATTGAGTACTGTAACAGTGAAATATATATATATTTTATGGGTGCTTTCACATCCAGGTACCCAAGCCATTTAACATAATAGCTTACATAGCCGGGTGCTGTGGCAGTGTGTATAATACTGTACAGCTAATGTCATCGGCAAATTCTAGACTTCACTGAGATAATTTTTATGTTTTTAGAAATGAAGGTTAGGTTGGGTTGGGTTAGGTTTGGTTATGCAACATATAGTTTTCTTTGAGAGTATTGTTCTCTTATGTTGATAATTGGCTTATAATAATCATTGTGTACACCCAAATATTTCATTAAAATAACATTATATGGTATTTTTAAATATATTGTTACAGTATTTTTTCTTTGAAGGAATATATTTCAACTTTTATAATGGTAATCGGTGGGAAAATGTGGTCTGATTTACAAAACGATTTTCAAGAGCAGAGCTCTTTCGTAAATTAGGGAAGGCCTGTACAGTATTTGGTAAATTTTTTGGAAGCATTCCTATGGATAAAACAAATTGCCTCGGATGTAAACAGTGGATGTCGCATCGTAGTGCACAGGTGTAGAATTGCATTCTGGATGGATTAAACCATATTACAAAAACATTTTCCTCCCAAACTTTTTGGGTTAATCATGTATTAGTTATTTAAGGAGTGGAAATTTAAGCACATGTTTGTTTACTGAAGGATAAGGCTGTGGCTTAATTTTTTTAGAATGTTTTGATTGAATATTTACTTTTATTTTGCATAAAGGCAAATTCTGGTAAGAGGGGGTGTGGTCCCATCTACATTGCTAATTATGGGGTTGATGATAATAATAATAATAATAATGTACAGTAATAGTATTTATTCATTAAAATTGCCATCAGGTTTACAATTGTATAGGCATGTTTATAAACTATGCAGTTATACAGTTCAGCTTCAAAGACAAGTAGATATATAGTGCATGTTAACCATGGAAGTACTGTATATAGTTTCTTGTATGCCTAGACAGTGCAGGTAAACAACAATGGTAAACAGTAAGACGATTTGACCAAGGATAGTCGACAAAACTGTCAGATGCTTATTTCCAGGATGGTCCTTTGCTTAGGTTTATGCTTGGTCTCTTAATCTCTTAGTGAGAACAAACAACACTAGTCAACCAGACCTATCAGTATTCCAACTAATACTGGTAAAGGTTAATCAAAGGTTTTTAAATGTCTGATAAAGGCAAAGGTTTTTTGTTTTGTTTTTTGTCAATATCAGCAAGTTCACCAACAATGCATCCACATTTATTGATCACTTGCGATAAAATTTTCACAAATGAAAGTTCACCTTCAACAAGCACATCAAGCCCCACAATGTGGCAAAGTAAACCCTCAACATTCGTGGATGTGATTATTCACTGCTACGACCATTGTATACCTGCTCATCCTTCAAGATCATGTGATTTGGTTATTCACGGTTTGTTGTCGCATTTCCCGTAGTTCTGCGGGCCATGATTCTGCGGGATGCCGCACATCACAACAAGTACTTTCAGTCTCGAATCTCCATCACAGTAACACCTGCAGCTCAGCTATTTTTGCTCTTCTTGGTGACTTTTTGTCTTTACTGATGCCTCCTAAGCATACAATGAGTGGGGTGAGTGTATCAAGTGCAAAGAGGCTGAAGAAAGTGTTGACTTTAAGTCAAAAAGTGGAATTGCTTGATCACCTTGTTAGAGTTGATAGTGAGGCAGCTGTGGGACGCCATAATGGAATTAACGAGTTGACTGAGCACTCAATCGGGAAAAAATGAGGCAGAAAGTGCTTAAGTAACTTTTCAAACCCATGAAACTAACATGGAAAAAAGGGAGCATGACCCTTTATCCACCTAATTCCCATCCAATATCACCACCATCATTATTTTCATTGGTGAATGCAGTACATTACTATTTTTTTTACATATATTTGATTTATTTACCATGTACAATATTACCCATAAAAAGTACCTCTTCGAGGGTGTCAATCCCCTAACCCCATTTTTCCCACAAGGTTTTAAGTTTAATATTCGTGTACTATTTGACATTCACAGTGTTTTTCAGGAACAACATGGCCCCATGATTTCCATCTGGTTATTTATAATTGCAGTGTATGATGTAGTATTAATTTTAATATGATGCATTATTTTCAGGTGCGGATTGCCTCAGATTTCGTCTTACACTCCCCTCCTGGTGAATTCAATGAAGTCTTCAATGGTATGTTTGCCACATCTGTGTACAGTACTGTCATTATAATAATATAGGAAGTACCGGTATTTACACATTCAGTTTATCAGACACATTGATCTCTAGCTTTAAAGGGTAGAAGGTTTTGTTATGTAGCTATATATTCATAATTCTGTATGTACAGTACTGTACTTGTTTCCTTATGTATTGTTTATAAAAAATGATTTGCGGAAATTTCAAAGACGACACAAGTTGACATTTCTTTCTTCCAAATTACTGTAAGAAAATTGTTAAAAATATTGATAAGAATAATGTATTAACCACTTGTGTACTGGGCTCTCTCAGTGCTCAACAAAATCATCTGACATTAGCCAAATAGAATGTTAAAAGTGGCATCCCCATAGTGAAGGGGTTAATATACAGTACGTTTATGACATGGTAGCTCCAGTAAAGATTTTATGTTAAATGTTGAAAAATATTTTGTCTCTTTGATTGTGTTCTGTATGGGTCTACTTGGTGGACCACTTGCCTCTTAGGTTCTCTTCCTCTTATTGTAGGTCCTGTACTAAAATCACATAAGTACAATACCAAAAGAAAACATTAGAATACTGTACTGTAATCTTGGTATTTTTGTAACAAACATTCATGTAATTTATTGTGGTGAATTTACTGAGTTGATGTATGCAAGCCATGGTCGAGTATGCCTGTTCTGATATCCCAGGTGTTGATGCCTGTATCCACACTTACTGAGGCTACATTTTACTTGTTCTCTACATACACTCTTATTTTAAACATTAATCATGTCTTATGTCTGCAAGGGTTGTAGCATGGAAGTGGCTGTAGTGCCGCCCTCTTGCCCTTAGGGTGACTGGTTCATGCCCTGAGCACCCCAGTTCACCCAGCTGTGAATGGACACCTAACTTTGTAAAGTAGTTATGGTGGTGAAGTGAAGGTAACTGAATGCAGTGCTGGCCACACTGCCTCCTTTAGTGCCAAAAGCTTAGTACATAGGTTGCTGTCTGCACTGCCTTTAAAAGGCCATTAGGCTTGTGGGACCTATTTCCACTGTCTGCACTTGGGATTGTACCTGTAACTCTGGCAGCAGATGTAAAAGGAGTTGACTCGGTTTTTGTTCAGTGTATATTACACCCACATCTAGTAGTGTTCAGTAGTCAGAATTTTTTGTTTGTCATACACATAATGATTTCCTAAACATTTTCCTGCTTGTTATCACATTTGTTATACTTGTCTCTATTGACATTATGTAGCATAATGTATGTTGGTTTTCAGATGTGCGAACCCTCGTCAACAATGACACCCTCTTGCGGGAAGGTGTTGCCCGAGCAATTGCCGAATACAACAAAGACCAGCTGACCCCAGTGAGGTTGGATGGACAGAATCACTATGCTCTTGTCACAGAACACAATGACCTTGGAGGTGGACGTTTCCTTGATCCTCGGGCAAAACTCACATTCAAGTTTGATCACTTACGCAAAGAAGCGACAGATATGAAGGTTTGAGTTTTACTTTTGTAATACCTGCTACTTAATCCTGTGAGTCCTTAATATTACAACTTTTTTGCACATAAGAATTAGTAACTGACTCCAGATGTGTACAGCATGTATATTTATCAAATTCAATCTGTATTAGTTTTCTAAGGCTGTTTTAAGATGTTCTTGTGTCATCTACATCTTAGTTAGAAGGCTGAATAATTGTGGTAGTAAGGAAATATATTGCTTCATGTAGTGTTCTTTATATTAATAGCATGTGTCTATGCTTATATGTGTCAAAGGACTGTATGTGTTGGCTATACAGAGGTCTATTGAGCACACGGTTCACATATTCTTATTCCATCACATTTTCTCATGGGATTCCAGATTTACCAGTCACTCCATCTACTCTTATCCAGTCACTCTATCCTCCACTCGATCATCTATCCAGTCACTCAAATCTCTCATCACAGTTAGATCTACCCTTTGTTTACTTAACTAATTTACAAGAATGGAACAGTTAGTCTTGATTTTGTCCTTGTCAGTGCATGTCACTTGTACACCAAATGCCCACAACTTGACTATATCCACTTTAAATCGTGTAACTAGCATTCAAAGAGATCACATGTCAACAAGCAAAATTCCCTCCTAACCATTGTTCTTTCATTGCAGTCCCAGTCCCTCTCATGGTAGCTTCCAACATCTGCTGGCAAACTGGATCATGCACCAATCACTTCATTCCATACCAAATTCTCATTTAACTTTATATTCTTGTTTGGAAACGAACACAATATACAGCAGTATCGGTTTGGTACATTGTGTCATATTGTATCAACAAGAAAAGGGTCAGATAGGGGTTATTTGTGTGTGTGTATGTACAGTACAGTACTCCAATTACTGTATAGCTTAATAATTTTTACTTAAAATATTCTATTCATTTTCTTGAAATTCTTCATATATTCATCTCATTTCACTGTCTTTTGTCCCCACTGATATTTGTGTGTGAGGCTCCCATTCCCCAAACCTTGGTTACTATTTTAGTTGTTTTTTGGGACTTGTAGCAGTTGTAATGTAACTACTGTAGTAAAGTTTTTTGCCAACATTTACTTTGATTATATAACTTTTGTAATACAGTAGTGATTATAACAAAAAATAACATGTTTTGGTGTATGCAGGCATGTGAGAGCGACCCAACCACAGAGAGCTGGAGGAGTGCAGTAGAGACACAACTAATGCAGTATTCCGGTGACCACTACCCTCATGGTGTTTGTGCTGTGTATGCTAGGGCACAAGGCTCAGCAGTAACGCTTACTATGTGCATAGAAGATCATCAGTTTCAACCTAAAAATTATTGGTAAGCAGGTACTGCCACTTACTGCTATGTCCCTTAACCCAGTACTTTTTCCTTTATTCCTTACCTGTACTATTTTACTAGTTACTATTTTAGAATTACAACTGAGAAATCCAGCGGTGTTTGGACCTAGAGTGTGCCGGATGTGTGAATTTCCTAAAGGAGATCAGACCCTGTATGCCTCCCTCCCTCTAGAACCCATGAAACATTTCCAGTTCCCAAGGTATATTAAGATTCAATTTAATGGTGCATAGCATTAAGCAAAATTTTCTTTAAAAATTTACAAAGCAGTACAGCTTTATAGTATTGGCTGTTACTGAGGAACGATGTATCACCTTGCAAGAATAATGTAGAAAAGTGTTAAATTTAAGAAAATATAGGCAAAGTAGGCAGCAACATGTTTATAGATCTATTTTCACTTTAACATCTTACGTTCATGCTCTTTCTACATTATACCAGTTAGGTAATTAGTTGCTACTAAGTACAATAATAGCACATGACTGTACTGTATGTGTTATTTTTGTAATACTATCTTCTTAACAGCCGAACAGCATTTAACTTAGTCCGGGTATTTACAAATCATGACACACATGACGGTGGTGGGCTATAATTTGTCATATTTTACCAAGGGAGGCAGTCTTAGCCGTTTGAGTTTGCATTTTGTTGAACACGTGATTGATTTCTCATTGCGTCATTGATATTTGTTTTACACAGTGTACGTTCACAAAACCAGAGAGTAGTGCTGCCACACATGAACCCAGCTGATAAGTGGCAGGTGGGGGTCATTTGTTGTCCAAGAATGCCAAGATTTTTTTTATACTGTACATCCATAACATGATAATTGCCTCTCTCTTTCTTCATTAATATTCAGGTATCACCCAAGATAGTCTCCATTTCTAGTGTTTAACTTTTTTTTTATGCAGTTATCCCCATTTAATTTCTTCCAGAATAAACATGAACCCTCAGATCTTCAATTTATTTTTCTTAGATTTTCCTCATACCTACTGGAATTGCTTAGACCACCTTAATGTCACAGTTTCAAATGGTTGGAGGATGCAGTGCAGAAGAACTTCCTTTACTGGCTCCTCTTTGGGTTACATTTTTAATCCTCTGTCCACACCCAAGCCTCAGTGGGCATCTTTTAACATGAATACATACATGTATTATTATTTGTACATGTAGCCAAAATGATTTTCCCTTAAGTTACATTGCTGAATATTTATAGACTTAATTACCCACATTTTATGCAGGAATGGAACCCTCTAAAAATTCAGGTGTTTACTCTAGTTTTATCATTCTGTAAACTATGACAGAGAAACAGTTAAAACTTCTGTTTTACCAGGGTGATTCAGCAAAGAGTACATTAAATTGGAGGATGAAATCCTTGGATAATTCTAAACCACAATGTCTCTTTGGTAAAATGTCAGATTCTGCATAGTTTCCATGTTACAATACATTTAAGATGTTGTATTAATGAGAGTGAATTTGAAGGAAACCCCCATAGGTTTTTGTAATCGTTTATTCACAGATCTCTCCAGTGTGACCCCTCTTTGTTAATACCTAAAGGAAATGTTCAAAGTTGCCCCCTTCTGCTTCAATGCAGGCCTGTACACGTCGTACCATTGATCGTCTGACGTTTTCCAGAATGCCTGGACTATGCTTAATTTGCTCGCACCTGTCACAAACATGTGGGCATATGCAAAATCTGACATTTTGCCAGAGGCATTATGATTTATAATTATCCAAGGATTTCATCCTCCAATTTAATGTACTCTGCTGATTCACCCTGTATAGAGAAATGGGTACTTGTAGTCAGTTCATACGCCTGGGGGTAAGTTTCTACTGAGTTCACAATGTATTTGTATTTTTATCATTCAGTGGATATTACAAAAATGGATATAAAGAACTTCATCATGACTGTAGGAATGGTCGGTGGCGATCAACGTGGACAGTGACTCTAGGAGGTGGCAGTGTGGAGCTCAAAGGGGTCCTTAAGGTGCAAGTTCACTACTATGAAGATGGAAATGTCCAGTTAGTCACATCCAAAGATGTCAAGGGTAATCTTACGGTTGCTGTAAGTTTCTCCTTTTTGTTTATTTTTTATTTTTTTTTTAAGAATTTGATAAAATGAGGTACAGTTCTTGGCTGAGTTAAAGTACTGTAACCCATTTTTTGGTCAGTGGCAGATTTTACCCATACCTCAGATAATCTTAACAGACTCACGTACATTATTGCATTTAATTAACTCAATCAGTAATCTCAGGTGTGTGCTGACTCATTCTTATTTAATGGTACGGTATTAAGTGCTGTTATTTGTCCTACAGTATGCCTTACTCAGGTGTGGGTCCTTCACTGTTACTACCTCTCAGATTGTTACTTTGTTATTGTTTCATATGATGTATACGGTAGTTTAGTCAGGGATATACAGTACAGTATTTAAAGTAGAGACAAATCTGCTTGGAAATTGTATGAGTTATTTATTTCTGTACGAGAACCAATGGGCAGATGGAAACATAAAGGTTACAATGCTGAACTGTACAGTACTAAGAACCAACCAAGGCATCACATGTCCCGCCTTCCACTCTTATTTTTGCCCTGATCAGGTAAGTATGTTGATTTTAGGAAGTAAAGGTGAACCTTGAGATGCAATATTCCACTTTAACGATGATTATGAATTAAGACCATCTCCCTATATACGATCAAAACAACTCGCTTTGATGATATCCATCAAATAGCCATCGATATCCATTGGTTGGACTTTTTTATCTCTAGTGCAAACTATGGGTTGTATATAGTCAAAGTAATCGCTGTCTTGCAAGGATTCCAGTAATGCAAATTAAAATTTTCTACGTCCAGTCCGTGACATTTTATAAGGAAACAATATTTAACTCTATGCATGACTCATCTCTGCATTCACTTGTAAGCCTACCCACGCACCGCCACAGGGCCAACCCACTACAGCCCTGTTTGGTTCTTTGTCTTTTGTAAACCCGTCATCTCTCTGTTCCACATTTATCAGCCAGCATCGTACATTGTAGTGAGAGGACAGCACTAAAATTTAGATTGAACTGTGTTTTGGTGACTGTGAAGTGATATTTTCTGTGTTTTTGTATTGTAAGGTGCTTCGACTGTTGATTTGAAAATGTGAGCAGTGTCGGCTGCTATCATTGTTCTTGTTATCGTCATTTGCTCAGTTTTTGTGACAAGTGCTTTGGCTCTGTTTTTGTGACTGTGAAGTGAGCAGTGTTACTTTGAAAATGTCTGGGAAGGCCAAGGCATCCAAGACAGCCATGTCTCTGAGGTGAAGCTTGACTTTGTTAAGCATCATTAGACTCCCCAGAGGTTGTGTGGGAGTCAGAGTGACATCTCCACTCCACCTACGAGAATCCCTTTAGCCTCGAAGGGGACATGTGATGATGATCATGCTTATTCTTCACGATATGGTGAGTGATGTTTATTTTGTACTGATAGTAGTATTGTAGGAATTATTTTGTTGGTGATACATGTGTGTTTGGGAACTGGCTGGGAATGTATCCCATTGAACCCCATGTTATAATGCTCCCTATCTACGATAATTCACCCAGTGATGGGCTTTTCAGGAACCTAACCCCATCGTATCTTGAGGTTTACCTGTAGTTGTGTGGTCTGGAGTCTCTTCTGTTGTGGCCTCCTGAGATAGAAAAATATGTACTACATACTGTATGCATTTGACCTCAAAGGGGGCAAAAAAAACAAACACAATGTAACCTGACTCCTGGTTAAGAATTTTTACTGGATTGCACAGTCTGTCACCCCCAAACACCTCACTGGACTTACCTCAATCCATTTCAGCTTAATGTTGGTCATTTATCCAAAGTTTTTTTGCTATTTTTAAGTATTAGTAAATCATTTATGTGAATTCTTCATTGAGATTAACCTTAAAAAAGAGAATTCATAAATCTATCTTCCAATTAGTAGACTATTTCCGTTAACCCCTTCACTATGGGGATGCCACTTTTAATATTATGTTTGGCTACTGTCCAGATGATTTTATTCAACTCAGAGGGGGCCCCAGACATAAAGGGTTAAAGAAAAACTGTCTTGACTTTGAAGTTGAATCTAAGAAGAATGCATATGGACCTGATAAATAGGCAAAATAAAAATCTTGCACAATAACCCTTAAATATTTTTTTCTTTATTTATATACCTGTATTAACATCCATCGGGGTTGTTTGAATCTGCATCAGAGCAACACCTGTGATCACCTACCTTAACTCCCATAATCTAGTGGTAACCCTTGTCATGTGTGGTCATAGTTTGTATCACCTTACATCTACAGCCTCTCACTTGGCGATTCCTTTTGAAATATTGACAACTTGACACCGAATGACCAGTCAGGTGCATGTAGAGATAAATTACCTGCACCTGATATAGATCATTAATCCTGGTACACTGGTGATGAGCAGCCCATTTAAAATATTATACCACTAGTCAGGAATGTGTACGAGTTGATCTTGGCACGAGTTAACTTTTGACCTGATGTGATTTAGTCTGACTTGATGCCAAGTGAATCTTAGAGAACAGGGGGAACTCACCTGGAGCCACCACTGACACAAACTATTATTTGCTGTCATTCATTCTAGATACTGTGACATATGTGTTATCCAAGAGCTGTAAAAATTTGCATAATATATTGAAAATCTTAGAGGCAAGAGTAAGTCCAAAAAAGACCTTGACATGTTTTCTTGTTCTCTTATTTCTCAAGGAATCTCATCTCCCCAGTAGTGGGAGTATACATAAAGAAGGTGTTATAGGGTGAGGCAGGAGTGGAGAAGGATTTGCAGGCATAGTGTAATGGGACAATCTGGAGGATATGTTATCATGGCTGCCTCTTAATGGGGGTTATTAGAGGTATACATAGATTAATGATAAAAGGAATACTTTTATTAATTCATGATATTGCATCTTTTCAGGGTGAGGAAGAGACGGCTCGAGAACTGGTGCACTTCATAGAGACGGCAGAAAATGAATACCAGACGGCTATCAGTGAAAACTACCAAACTATGTCGGACACAACCTTCAAGGCCTTGCGCCGTCAGCTGCCTGTCACGCGTACCAAGATTGACTGGAATAAGATAGTTTCATATTCTGTGGGAAAGGAGCTTAAGAAGCAATAATAGTTAATGATGGTACTATGGAACATTTTAAAAATGAGTATCTCTATATAATGAATTAGGGATAGTCTTTACAGTGCATTTGGTATTCATAATTCCCATTGATTTATTGTCAGTTGTTGAATACTTCAGAGTTAGATCGTTATTTTGTCCTTAAGCATTATTAAGATTGGAGATTATTTTAATTATTGTTTCTTAGTTAACCTAAATATGTTGAGAATAATCAGGTATTGAATTTTTTTTTGTCTTAATTGATCAGTTTCCCTTTTAAAGGTAGAGGTGAATATATTGCTTTTGGGCTTCTCTGGGGTGAACCATGCCAATATTTCTATGATGTTGTGCACTGTTACTGAAGGTTAAACACATCTCTTGTTAAACTGTTGTGTAGATCATCAGAAACACGCAGCAAGAGTACGCCCTCATGTAGAACGGAACATTGAGCTACATTTACTATTCAGGATTATTGGGAAAAACTCGTTCATACATATACCATCAAGAATTGTTCCATCATGTGCATTTTTCATTGCTTTAAATTACTAGAGGTTACTTTGTAATCTCAGTGTTCCACCTTTGGTCGATGTCTTCCTGTGCGCTGTTTTTGATTGTTTACGCAAGCATCAAGCGCTGGGGGCAGCAGGCTTTCTTACATTAGTTGCAGACAAGAATAAAATGGGCCTGTTGGGGATGTCAGTTTCCTTACAGTCTCTGTTGCGAAGGTTAGTCATTTTGTGGCTCAAGCTGATAACTTTATACAAGTTGGTCCATTAGGTGTGATCCCCTGACTGCTGTGATGCCTGGTTATGTAAAAGTTTGCTGGGGGTTGTGTCTGTTCCTAAAGATGGCCTGCTTGCTGACTGCTTGATGGTGTTGATTATATAGTACATATTTATCTAATCATTTACACTTATTGTTTAAGAGATGATTTTGAAGTGCTACCTATCATGCCAAGTGCATTACAGGTCAAAAAATTTGTCAGGTTAAACTCTCCTGAGGGTATTTCACTTTGTCCTAATGCACATTATTTTGGGTGAAGCGTGGTAAGATGAGTAATGGTAAGCCTAGAAAAGGATTTATACACTAACAAATGAATTTTAGCTTTAACTTTTACCATAATATGTGATTAATATACATACACAAACATAAATTGTTGTTTTTTTTTTTTTTTTTTTTTTTTAATGAATGAAAATGAACATGATTTCAGCATACAGGTTGTGTGGTTAAGTCTTCCACCAAGTAGTAGGGATCCAGATACAGTACTGAGCATTATAAATTACTTTGGGATTGGACTTATGAAAAGTGTTATAATAGTTACCTCATCCCTTGCAGCTATATTTAAGCCAAGTTTTGTGTGTCCAGTGAGGGTCATCAGTTATTTGCTATGATGGATGACCTTCACTAAGGATTATATTCATAAAATTTTGTAAAGAAGAAAGATATAAAAATCTCATTTAGATGAATCCAGTTGATCACACTGTCAAGTATGTGCTCACGGAAGTTTGAAATTTTGTGAAAGTCTGTGAGGGAATTGGGCAGAATTTACATAACCGAGGTTGAAATGAGGTTGTTAGATTTTACTTAAAAAATTATCTTATTGTGCTTGTTGATACACCTGTATTGATTTCCTGAGACTTTTCAAGAACTTAATTCTAGGCTTGTCATTGCTGAGCTTGTCTACCAAGACAATTCCAATATTGTAATGGCTGTCGTTGACTGGAGAATGCTCTTGATGCTTATTGAACACTTTGTTTATCACTTTTGTCTAGGAACGACTGCTTTATGTAAAAAATATACAAAACGTTATCCCTGGTTGGATCCTTTTCTAGTGATTATAATTTTTGAAGGTTATATGGGTCTGTTTTAAACTCCTTGGTGTTACTTTATAATTATGAAAGGATTTATGTTTCATAAGTAAAAACAGTTGGGCTTGTTTTGCACCTGCATTGGAAATCATTGCCAAAGTGTTTTTCTTGTTGGTTTTCATTTAAAGGAGCAATATACAAATCAATTTTGTTTTTAAGGCATAAAATCCTTTTTAATGTTTATGGGACTTTAGTTAATCCTTATCTTCTACTTGTCAGTCACACCATTGTCATACCAGTTAATAAATCTTGCATCTCTGAAATCATTAACATTTCATTTTATTAGGGTCCCACCTAGTTGGAGGAAGAATATCGTAATTACCCTGCCTGTTTTTTATTCATCCACTCCTGTTCACAATTTCTTGTAACTAGACTGTCTCTCAAAATTCCTAATATATCTGAAAGAAATATAGCTGCCTCACCAAGACCTCTGAATACCAATGGTGACCATATGACAAATTCCCAGAGTGAACTCCCTGTTGAGCGGTGGTGTGGCATACAGGCACCATGGGTGAGTTTTTGCTATGCAAACCGTTATTGCTGCAGTGATATTCCCCATTTTGGGTACTTGTTCAAATGATTAAAATTAATAATGAATTTAAAGATATTACTGAGTTTTGTGTACAGTACAAGTATCCCTCATTTAACAATTGTTCACTGCAATTTTTTGGTATAGTGATGTAAATTTTGTAACACCCTTTCTTATTTAACAATTGTTAATTTTTGGTTTAGCATGGGTGTGTATGTATGGGAAGTGAAGGTCTGTATTGAAGCAGTGACTGGCCAGCCACACACTCCCTCCCCCTATGTGATGTCATAGCATACAGGAAGCAGCCTCACACATCTTTAGAGTAAGCTTGGTGACAACCTGGATGAACTGTTGTGAGTATATTTGTATCAGTAAATGTGAGGAAGAAATAAAACTAATAATAAATAAAATAAAAATAATGCATTGGCATTTTGGCAATCATTTCATGGGACACGAGACAGAGAATGGCCGAGAAATCTGCCACTGCTTCCCTCTCCCCGTTCTGTGGGTTAGCTGCTGAGCACGTAAGAAATGTTTAATAACTATGTTTTTGACCTTATGATATATATATATATATATATATATATATATATATATATATATATATATATATATATATATATATATATATATATATATATATATATATATATATATATATATATATATATATAATTATTATTTTTTTTTGGCATGTTCTATATGAACAGTTGTGTGCATGTAACAGTAAAAGAAAATTACATTTATCTATCCGATATTATGAGTTGAGCAGTAACATAGCTCACAGCTCAGCCTCACGTGCACTGAGTGCTAGTGGGTGGCAAGCTAGTGACTTGGCTATGCAATTACGTACCTTATCCTTGGATATTATTCCTTCTTTGTACTTCCTCTTTTAGTATATTTCTTATCCCTTATTTAGCAATCATTTTGCTTAACAATCGTTTTTTCAGGAATGCATCCCAATCGTTAAACAAGGGATACCTGTATAGTTTTACATTCATATCTATAGGTGAAAAGTTGTTGTTAAATATTTCAGTATATCTGAGGCTTTAAATTAATAGCTTGAATATAATAAATAGTTATTGCTGTGGAGACCTTCAGCAGGGCTTAATATACCCAGCCAGGTCTGTCCCCCACCCCCCTCCTTTTTTTTTCCTCGTTAAATGGGTAGTTTACTTTTGTATTGAAATTTCTGTCCCTAGATAAGTAAACCCATATTTATTAGTTTCATGATCAGGGTGTATTCTTTTTTCTTAACTCTTAAGCTGCAGCCCTGGAAAATATGACTATTCTGCATTTGTCCAGTGAAATTGGGTTTTTTAAATCTTACAAAAATAGCAAACTTTTTTCTAAATTTATAGGCAACAATACAGAAAAAGGGGAAACGTCTTCACTTACCTAATTTGTTTGATGGATGTTTTTCTCCACTCGTAATTCCATTATAATAACACAATAATGGCCAGAGACCTGGTGTTACCAATTGAAGTTTGGATGTTGGTCAGCAGTTGCTGATACTGGGGTGTTGGTAGGTGGCAGTGTTACCATAAGGTTGTCAGTGGGTTGTGTTTATTTCTTTACTTTGCTATTTTACCTTTACAGATATTGTACTGCCAATAATTTCCTCTTGCATTTCCTCATTCACTTACAAACTTACTTAAAACAACTACAAAGGCTTCTGGAGTGAAGCAGGGAGTGTACCAGTGGTGGCTGGCCTAAAAAAAAATGCAGGAATACCATAGACATTTAAATGTCTCATTGGGGAATGTCTTATTTACATTGGGGTCAATAGACATTGGCTGCAGTCCAATGGTTAAAGGCTTCATAAATGTTAGAATTTTGACAGGGTAATAAACTCTTGTTCTTAAGTAATTTGTGAATAATATTTGTGTATAAAACAGGGAGTGTTATTTGTGTAAAGTGATTGATAAAAAAAATTGCTGTGGCTGAGAGGCAGCCACCTAGTAAGAGGATGACTGCATAGGCCTCCCACTCAAGATAGTAATGATAATAACTCCTCTCCCCTCCCTCAAGTCTCAAAAGAGAGGTGACACACAAGAAGGGCGAGTGTTTTATATACATGTACAGTAGTTTAATTTATATATGTTTACTTCTGTATTCATTTTACATATCTATTTTACTAATAAGTATTCCATCAGTTTTGACCATATTGTACATACTCTTGCTTCCAGTTGTGTATAATAAATATGGGCATATATGGAGAGCACATTATTTAGGAGTCAATCAATCAGAGTACAGTACTGTACTATTCTCATATCTAAGGACTTTTTTTTTTTTTTCCAAACCCCCAAGATTTTGTATCTCTCCGAGGACCCAGTTTTTAATTTAATTCATCCATCCCAGTCTCTGCCTTCCCCTGGCCCTCCTACTTTCAACTTTGCCCATTAATATTTCTGCATTATCCCATAAAAACAAATGCCTGTATCATTGGCCACAACATAACCACACCCTATACTTCTCTCTTAAAAATATTTTTCTCGGTAATTACTAACAATAAATCTAATTTGATTGCACCATTATCTATAGGAGGATATTCTATATAAGATGTACATATCAATCAATAATCTGTTATAACTCGGAGAAATATGACCCACATTGCAGGAAAAATAGCCTCCAATACATTTGTGCTTCATATGGTATACAATGTAAGTACTGTGCTATACATTATTCACAAAAGAATAATAAATATCATGGGCTTCTAAATAAATTTATTAAAAACAATACAAATTTCTCTTTTAAACAAAAGAGCATTTGATAATGTAACAACAGTACAATAATAATATTTGAGATGATGATAAACATTACAATCATTTGTCTTTAACCCCTTCACTATGGTCATGCCACTTAAAAATTTATTTGGTTAATGCCAAACGATTTTGTTCACAATGTGGAGGAGTCTGTACACCAGGGGTTATAAACCTAAAAAAAAAAATATAAAGTCATCACCAAGTTTTCAATCTAGGAACAAAAAGAACAATACTGTACTGAATATAGGTACTGTATTGTCATGATTCATAATGATAATACAGATTGAGAGAGTTTTGGTTACTTTCGATTTTATTCAAAACTATTTCAAAATTGTGCTGCGTATTCATAAGTGCTGTACTGTACTTTACTATGGTTACATGTGATCTTGGTGGTCAAGACCTCAACATGTGTACAGTATATATAGCTAACTGTACTTGTGTTGGAGCATCATACACTTCCTGGGGATTGTATTGGATTGCTTGAAGATTATATACTTCTAGCTTATTTCATCTTAAGATTATCCACCCTGTCACTAACCTAACTTCTTCAGATTCACCCACATACAGCACAAGGGCTAGTTTCTTGGGCATGTTCTTACATCCTGTGGAAGGCAAAGCATTACAGAACCCAACAGGGGAGCAGTGGGAGTTCATGCTTACATTTTTAGACTTGGATGATGGGTGGGCAAGAGTAGTTGAGGGGCCATTGGTTTTGTTAATTGAGATAGGTTTTAACCCTATAGGGAGCAAAGGTTTCTCTCAGCTGAAAAAATTTGTCTGGCATTAGCCAGAATAAAATACCTGAGGGATAAATTGCCTTCTAATGGGTTAACAAGTTATTTGTAATGAAGGAAGAATATGTGTATACTGTATATAGGGAGAATTACCTGTACAGTTCATCTGTTTATAGTAAAGCATGATGGGTCCCTAATAATGTGCAGTGCCAAGACTCACTAAAGGAGGAATACAGGTTACCTGAAGAGGTTAGGTTAGTATTAGGATGGTTTCTAAAGGTAAAATAAAATAGGGTAGCTAATTAACAGTTGATCCTCCTAATTGTGCAGTACAGTATTAGAGAGTTATATTTTCCAGGTATGTTAGTGAATTGTTACTGGTCTTTGTGAAATGTGTTTAAAATGGACAGATAAAGGGGCAAAAATTTTCAATGTTTCCTGGGTATCATACTGTATATACTGTACTGTATCGGCATGCAAAAGGGAATAAAAAATGCATGACAGAAATGGAGTTGGCACATGAAGAGAGGATGGTTGAATTGAGCAGTCTGGTCTAACTCTCATGCATCATGATGCAAATCATTAGGTAGCACAATTTGTGTTGGTGACACAAATTTCATCATTAACATTTAAATACGTGCCCCCCCAAAAAAAAAAATTGCCCAGTAGACAATTGTGTAAAATTTTTGTATGTCATAAGTGATTGCATGATCTTGCAAAGGTAGCTTCCAAAAAGATGGTGCTGGCATAAGAACTCTACTGAATATCTATTATTATTATTAAGTACCAAAGCGTAGGTGGAGTTCCTCAATCCATCAGTTTCCTCCCATCAGCCATGCTGGTAGGGTGTATTTCTCCCCTTATTTCCTCTCCCACCCTTTCCACAATTAGTCATATCATAATTCCAAACCCACCATTGGAAAGCTCATTAATACTGTACGTAACTTGATAGGTTTGTGAGGAATATCCGATATATATTTTATTTCTTTATTTGGAGCTAAAATGTATACCTGTACTGTAGTCTTTTTTTTTTCAACTTATATTAAAGCCCAAACAGTAAAGAAGCCTGTAATGCATAAATCATGTAAAAAGAAAAATATCTTGTGGGATAAATTGGCCACAGATCAAACGTGACCAGACCTCACGAGTGGTCCCATGTGACTTCTGTCATGGTTACGAGATTTTTTTAACTTTTTGCGTAAGCGAGTGTTATGTGTAATCTAATAAAATGTAAAGGTGACATGTAAGAATTAGTAGATGAAGATGCCTTGCATCAGATGAATTTTATGAATGTGGTGTTAGGGTACATATGGTGTGGCATAAATACCAAGAAAACATGAAACTGGAAATGAAGTTCCATACATAGCAATGAATAGAGCTACAATTTTTTCATTGGGCAGTTAAAACAAACATAGGAAGAGTGTACATGGGTGACAACATACAGACAGTGCACTGAGAATCCGTAACAAGTGAATACAGTAATATCTCCGTTAGCCAGAAATCCTCTTAACTGAAACTGTCCGATAGCCGGAATTGAAATTTTCTCGGAAAATCATCCCCAAAGAAAATTCCCGGCTTTGGGAACAATTTTCCGAGGGGCACATTTTCTGGAAAATAAGAAAATTTCCCCAATATCCGGAAAATTCCGGAGATGGGGAGGGGGAGTTTTTTTTACCGGGTTAGAAATGAAAATCAGTCCCCATTTCCGTAAATTTTGAGGGCGAGGGATTTTTTTCCTGGCTTTGAGAGTTGTCTTGCTACCCGGAAATCTCTCATTCCCGGAAATGCTCTATACCAATTGTTCTGTGCAATGAAAGAGAAAAGGAGTTCCAAAGGCCTCACGGACCATTAGGGATAATGACAATACTGTACAGCATATTTTATACTAAGCCTTTGAAAGACAATGAGGTAATATGGCCACCAATGTGGTTGACTGCCTTCATTTTTCCAACAGTGAATTTGGGTACTGTATGTACGGGTATATATTTTCAACTATAAATACTATAATACAGTACTTCCAGGACAGACTTGGGCCAGGTCTTCTATGGTATTTATAAATGTTCACAGCCATTTCCTGACCCACTATCCTGTACTGTTTAGTCAAAGTTAGAATTTTTTTCTTACAATAACTAGTACAATAAAATTTTTAGGTACACTTGGTAAAAATAAATATATCTACACAATTCTTGTACGAAACAAAATAACACTGAATGAAGGTTTTGATAAAGGCCAAGGAGTCATACCTCGCATTGATAGCCTTGCGTGTAAAATGTTCAGTTCAAAATTCATTGGACCCCTCATTAAAGATATTTTTTTAGTGTACGTATGAAAATAAAACACCTTATCACAGTACATATATATACTATAGAAACTACCAGAAGAGTATCCTTATACAATCTTTTACTCCGCAGGAAGACATTTGAAGGACTTGTTACTCAAACTGTTACTTAATGATCATCTTACATAAAATACTGTGAGTCTCAGGTGATCTTCTCTTTAGATCATCCAGAAGTTTCATCAGCATGTGTTTCTCTTTTGCACTTAGGGCATCAAAGTTCAACATGAGGGCAGCTAGGTCCTCAAGTTCTAAATCCTGCAGGTCACATCCTCTGGAACCTCCAGCAATTGGTTGCTGTGCTTTTGAAAAAACCGATGCACCTGATTTACACGTTGGCAACTTTTCACTTGTACTATTGGATTCATTATTTATATTATGATCCTGATGCAAATATCTATCCATAGGTAAGTTTTTTCCATTTTTCAGATTTTGTCTGTGTGAAATGTGTGTACTGTTCAAGTTATTTTTGTGGCATAATAAATTTTCTGGCTGTTCATGATTGTCATAATATTCTGAATGCTTACATCTAGATGAACAAGCATGATCAAGGAAAGAGTGATTAGAGTGCACAATATTGTTTGGGGTACTCCAACTTCTATTTGCGTTCTTCTTAACTCCTCCTTCGCCTGTTTGTTCAGCTACTCTTGTACTCACACTTTGAAATACTCCAGAAGTACCTGGTTCTGAATCTCCATGATTAACTGCCATTTTTTGGTATCTATGATCTCTTTCCTTAACTGATATTTGTTTGCCTCTAACCATCGTTTCATGAGGTACCGGTAATATGAACGATCTCTCTGCAGGAGGCCACATTTTCCAATTCTGATCTTTTTCAGTACATTTTCTCATATGACTGAGAAAATCATCAATATTGCTGGAAACTTTTTCAGAGTTCCTGTTTCTTTCCAACACCTGTTTATGCAAAGGGCTTCTTTGTACCCTCTTTTCTGTGCTAGTTGATGACAAGATATCCCTTGTAAACTCGGCATTAGTTTGAATAAACTTTCCAAAAGACCAATTATCAGAATTGCTTGCTGACAATGGCATTCTTGTATGTTCTACTGTTGGAGGATTCTGAAAATGGTCAAGGTCATCACTAAGATTATATCTATTTTGTCTTGTTTCCTCTATTGCTGGATTATTTCTTCGGAGTTCAGGTATTCCACCATACTGACCAGGGATTGATGAAAAACGCTTTTGACCAGTATGTGTTGATGCATCAATATCTCTATTGTTCGACTGATTCAAGTTAGGATCTCTGCCTTTTTTCAGAGATAAAGGCTGAGAAAGATCTACTGCTTTCCGAGGTTCATCGTCTTTTTTTGCACATGGGAGCATAGATAAGAGTGTAGCTAAAGCTGCATTTGTCTCTCCTCCTAAAGTCTCTCTGGGTGTAGAATTATCAACTGGATTGGAGGTTTCTTTGCATGTTTCCTTCTGTGTTTTCTCTGGAGTGCATATTAATTTTAAATTTTTTGGGGGATGTAATTCTGAAGACAGAACACCATCACCAGATAATTCCCCCAAATGATTATGCTCAGATGAGTTTGATGCCATGCATTTTAATGCCAGTTCACAATGCTTTGCAGTGACAGCCATGAATATATTTTTAATATCTGTATCTTTAATTTCCATATGTCCTTCATATTTTAGCATTTGCCGAATAAAGGTTAAAGTATCTTCTGCAGATTTACCAACACTAGCTCTAGCAACAGTGTCTATATCAAGTCCCAAATATTTATTTTGTTTTTTCTCACACACTAATTTCAGAAGTTGTTTGGTCATTTCATGTGCTTTCTGAACTAGGAGCATGATTTCTGGTGGAAATACATTCTTTTGGATTTCTGAGGAAAATGTTTGAATTACGAGTTCCAGTAGAATAATATTGTCTGTGTCCAGGAAAACTGCAAGGGGATCTTTACCATTTGTGATGTCAATTGTTAATTTAATAAACAACCCTTCTACTATGGAACCTAGATTCCCCAACACATGGATTACTTTTCTCACTAAAAATTCCATAACTTCAATAACAAACGGCTTTTTATCACATTCGTCACCATCTTTAATTTGTCCACTTTGACCTTCGACTTTCACAGACTCTGAATAAATATGTTTTGAAGGTGATGGTGTCCACAATCTCATATGTTTTCCTCCTCCACTGATTACACCATCAGAAACAGTAGAGTCTGGAGATGGATAGACTAGAACACTCGCATAGTCACCTCCAGAATTTACTCGTGATCTTTTTACTACTGAAGTGTTCTCCTGCAGCTCCAGCTGCTTGTTTCTTGACTCGCAACAAGAACCAAGATTCTCAGGAACTGTTTTTGCCACACTTTCATCAAGGCCACTTGTCATTACAGTGTTGCCCACAACTCTGAAGGACGTTACCTCTAATGATGTTGAAGGTTTAGACAATACCAGTTCAGTTACTTTTTGTTGTTTTGAAGTATCTTTGTTAGTTGTCTCTGTGTTCACAATATCAATGTTAGCAGTGAATGAAGGGGGGTAACTTTCACTACTATCTTCGAAAATATCCTTTTGTCTGTGCCTGCTTTTATTCTCAACAAAAATAACCTGTTTTCTATTTGAAGGAGCATCACACTCATTATCATCATCCATATCTTCTGTGGTTATGTTTTCTTGTATCCTAGTTTCAGTAAATGGAACATCTTGTTGATGATCTGTTGATAACTCCTGGTGTCTTGGTACTTTTGATACTGTGATTGAAGAAGTTGAATGTACAGGTACCATACTTTGTGATATATTTTGAACATGTGTCTGATCTAGATGATTGTCTAGAAAATTAATTGGTGATTTATTTACACCCGAAGCTTTAAATTGCAATTCATTAGTAGCTGGAGCTTTTACTGGTGTTGTATTATTGGTTGAGCCTTTACTTGGCAAAACATGACTTCTGGAATCCTTGGTTAGCAATGCATGACTTAATGGTACCAAAACAGATGATGTCTGTGTCACTGGAATATCTATGGGCTGGGGTGTCTTGGTTTGAGGTAGCAACTGGGTTACTCCTGCATTTGTTTTAGGTGGTGGTGTAGAGTTATCCACGTGTGATTCTTGAATTGCGGTCTTCACAGATGGTGATTCTTGAAATGCAACTTCAGAAGCTGTTGAGTCTGCCGGGGCAGCTTTTGTAGTTGGGATACAGTGCTGTGTGTGTTTGAAAGAAAATTTTTGTCTACACAAAGGGACAATTTGTGTCAATTTTTTATGTTGACTTGGTTTAATTTTCACCTTTACACTTGGTATGTGCTTTGCTGCATATTTTTTACTGTGCATCTTTTCAACCTTTTCTTTTTTCTTACTTTTTATTGTAAATTTCCCATCCTGTGATTGTTGCTTTTTCATCTTCAAAGTTGGAATTTCCTGTACAGTAGATGTGTCATCTGCTGTCTGTTGTTTAGAAGATATTGTACCTTCTATTCTTCGTCCTGCATTTGTAATTTCTTTTGCTTCTTTCATTGAAAATTTTCCTTCTGAATTTTTTATCAAAACAAACTTCAGAGGAGAATGTTGTTCTAAGGAGGTGGCAGATAATGTTTCTTCTATTACAGGTGTTGTGTGTTGGGATTTTTGTCCTATAGTAGAAGGTGTTCTCTGCACTGACAAATTTTCTGTTGGTGATTGATGCACTGCTAGTTCCATTGGATTTATATTTTCCATAGAACTTTTCCTAGTTTCTGTTTTGTTCGAATGATGTGAAATTTCTCTTACCATATTTTGTGAAGTCTCTCTTTCTTGAGATAGATCTTCCTTAGCTGATGTTAAACAAGTTATATCTGCTGATCCATGACTTTGTTGTTGTGTATGGTGTTCTTCACACACTGCAAAAAAATAAATACATGTACTGTACTGTATTGTAATTAATCCAAAAGTATTAATGAGGAACCTGCAACTTTTTATGAAGAATATTAAGAAGAAATCATTTCGATACTCACTTGAAGTAGTCTCACTTGGTTGAGATAAGTAGACGGGAGGAGTGAAATCTATGTTTCTTGATTTGCAGATGTCAGTGACAGTCTTGATGGACACTGAATTTAAGGACATGTCATAACCACTACTGGAGTCGTGTAAGTTAGATGAAATTGGGACGTCCGCACAATCTGTTTAGGGTAATGGTATTTACACGACCTTTTTCTTAAGTGATGAAACTTATAACTGATATAAAAACAGTTAAGCAGTGTAATGGTGTAAATATGTCTTGATCAACTATGTATTCTCAGTAAGATAAATATTATATAAGGGGAGCAGAATAATTCAAGTGTTCCCTTAACATATTCAAGAAAGATGTCATCATATATTGTACTGTCCTCTTTACAGAAGGTGGGGCATTTGTATGTCTTAAGTTCTGGGTCTCGCACCTCAAGAAGAGCATAAGGTGTATATCAAAGGTGATCAAATGAAAATCAAAGTTTCTCTGAGATCAGACATAAAAAAAAAAAAATTCTGGTGTCAATGAAAGGACAACCTTTTAATGGGGATCAGCATCAAGGAAACATTATATATGATTTGACAATCTTGTGTTTGAAGCAAGCAGGTCAATAAATGGATGTCAAAACCAATTTGGTACTGTAATTAGCTTTCATGGAACTAATCAGCTCTGTATGTGCTATATGTAAAAATTTTGTAAGGAGTTAAACTGGAAAAGCCCAGCCTCTCCGAATTTAAAACATTTAATAATGGAATTAAGAGCAAATGATAAAGTTAATAACTTTGAAGCTCTACAAAAAATTCAGTCGTGAAGTAAGGAACTTCTTTCATACTGAAAAGAATTTTAGTATTGTACCATACATGTATTCTAATACTGTATAATATAACCCCTTCTGCAACAGACTGCAGAGACAAAATACAGTACCTGTATTAAAATCTGGTACAGTATAAAAAAAAATCTCTGGTAAGGAACAAACTGTACAGTACTGCACAGTAACATTTATGCAAGGAAGAGGGTCTACTTGACCTCACATTAGTACTACTGGATGAGTGTACTGGAGTATCACTGGGTTCACACCACTTTTTCTCATACCAACATCTCAGTGTTGGTTTTTCTTTTGTAACTTACCAGAAGAGTGAGATGGGCAAGTGTGGGAGTCAGGAAGGACCTGAATTCTATGCTTGTTAATAATGGAGTCATGTAACACATGCACCACTTGTACTGCTGCCTCTGTTGTTTCCATATAACACACTCCGTAGCCTGTTGTAGAAGCAAAAAATATTATGGTTCATTTCTTTATAAGTCTTCATGATACTACATTACAGTACCATCATTCTTTACATCCACATCAGTTCATTTTCAAACCCTTGTTAGTTTTATGGTAGTGAATTACCGGATCTCATGAAGATTAGGGAACCCTGATTATTTCACCTGATGATTAAACACACTAATACTGAAGGTGGGGTTAGGTTAAGTTGACATTACTGAAGTTTGTTTAATCATCAGGTGCAATAATTGGCATTCCTAGTCTTCATGAGATCTGAATTACCTGTAGCTAGAAATATGCACATACAGTAGGGTATGCTATAACGAACGGATCCTACTACGAATATTCCTAAAACAAACGGTTTTACCTATAAAATTGAGAATGCTATCACGAACGAAACTCCTACAACAAACATTTTTTTTTTTTTTACTAATTTATTGTTTTTTTATTACAAGTATTAATGATATTCTTTATTTCAGGGGTTTAGATGCATATTTAAGCACTTTTTTACAATTTTTACAATTTTATATTGTATTTTTCAGTGTTAAGTGGTTGTACAGTATTTGGAACCTGGAACGGATTAATCCGATAACGAACGAATGCTATAACGAACAAGGTTCTAGAACCAATTAGATTCGTTATAGCATACCCCACTGTATATTCTTTAACACCATTTTCTGTTTATTCACTTGTATCTATTTTAGGAACAAATGAATGATATTACATAAGGAAGAATCAACATATGTGTTTGCTCCTGATTCTGGCCACCCTTGCATTATAGTAATAAAAGACCTGAGTATGAAAAAGGAAAATAAATGAAACCCAATCTCCTCAAAATTCCATTTCTATATCCGTAACTTACTTCAAATAAATCATGCCATTACACCCTTTATAAAATATTGTGCTGTATACCCTCCATACTCTTCACTACATAAACTAATGAAACTATCTGAATTCAGTCAAATACCATTTAATGACTAGAGAAACTGGCAAAAGTAATCTATCCTATACATTTGGCTAGAATGAGCCATATAGACTTGTGAAAACTTACCGCTTCTTTTATCATCCTGAGACCGCTGCCACAACAAAGATGTACCACAGGCAGAGAGGAGTTCACTCACGAGGTCATCTGGCAAGACATCAGGAGGTGGAAGGTTTCTCAAGTACAATCTTTTGTATGCTGGAAACCTAGATTTCATTTCATCAACAACACGCACACGGTTATCAGTTTGAGACTCAACAAAAATGACATCATTATCTTCATCATCAGAAACAATAATCACATCCTCATCAGTAGTTGAAATATCAATAACAGACTCTGTAGGGGATAACATTTTGTTTGGCACTGTATTGCGTGGTTTAGAGACAATGGTGTCAGGTTTCAGTGTAACATCAACCTCTTGTGCCTTTACTACTGCACCTGATACATTATCATTTGTTTCCTTTGAGGCTACAATTGGGCAGCTGCTGGAATCATCTGTCTCTGCTTCAAGATCATTACATTCTGTATCGTTTGATTTTGTAGTTACTGGTGAAGCAACACTTGAAGCTGGAATCCTTATATTTTCAGTTTCATCAAAGGCAGATAGAGAGGATGAATTTACTGATAGTTCAAGTGCATTAGACTGAGCAGGAAAGTTACTCTTCTCTGTTTTGATAGCTTCATTGGTAGCTGAAGTTGGTGATACCTGCACTAGGCCAGTGCTAGGTGTTCTGGATGGAGCTGCTGTCTTGGGAAAGGATTCTTGTAAAACAGGTCCATCATTAACTGGCTCATCATCTTCACTCGAGCTGGATTCTATGATCAGCCAATCTTTCATGAGGATTGTGTCTGCAGTCTCTTCTTCAAGTACAACTTGATAGTGCAATAATCTGTCTGTATCCTTGGAGTTCTGTGGAGGTCATTGAAAACATCATAAACAGTACATGTAGTATTACAAAAAATTTCAAAAGAACCTGAGTATGGGTGACACTAATATAGTACAGTTGTAGTATTGTTCAATAAACTGATTGTTAACAATGCCAGTTAATTTTCAATCATACTGGGTATGTTAAGAAATAGGGAGTAAAAATATTTTTTCCAAAATGACTCACAACTTTGGGCTCTGTCGAGAAAATTGACGTATTGCTGGAAGCTTCATTTCCTAGCTTCATTGCTAGACACTCCTGAGTGTCGTCACCAGGCAGAGCTCCATCACACATCTCATTCTCGGTCAACTGCAGAAGAAAACATTGGATGTTATCTGCACCAAGTGTCAAATTATAGAGAAGGTTTCAGGATATGGGGAAACTGAATGGTGCATTTGTATTTGTCAAAATCATCTTCAACCTCTCATTATTATACATTACTCTGATATTTTAGCAAATTAGCTACTGATGCAATTTTTCAAGTTGAAGAAAAAAGCTGAAATCATGGAATACATTTACTGTAGTACTGTTCTGTACTGATGAAAATGAATATGTAACTGTTCACCATATTTTTGGTGATCAAATATGAATATTGAATGAAACAAACTCTGTACTGTAATGTACAAAATTTCATCTGGAGTTGGGGTATACAGTATAGAATTTTTATTAAATCCTGTATCACCCACATCCAACTGTTTTTTTTACTAAAAAATATTTTGTGGATAAAAATGGTCATTAAATAATTACAGTGGCTGTCCCACTTGGGGTCACAGTCTCAAGTTAAAAAAAGTCACAAGTGCAGAAAACTGCCACAATGATTCTTTAGGAGAAGAGTTGTGAACTCTTGGAATAACTTGCCAGTGAACGTTTTGACAACAATTTCTCCATCTAATATGGCTTATCCTTGAGGCAAGAAGTAGGTAATATTTTATGACACCAACTTGAAAAGGTGCAACTTAGACAAAATTTCTATATAAGAAACTTCTTTCATACCTCTTGCATATCAGTAAAATAGTGGAGGAATTACAACTTTCTTATTCTTGTTTTCCTGCTTGTGCAGATGCCATCTGAAATCACCTGAAAAATTTGTGCCACAGTAATTTCAGGAAAAATTTTGTGCTCTGGTTACTTTTATTTATCCTCTTGGCCACTGATAGGCTTGCTTTCAATTAATCTCTCCATAATGTTTGAGAGATTGTGTTGGATGAAAACAATATAAGAAAAATAAAGGTAATGGACGAGTTGACGGCCAGAATTTTTTCCTAAGATGGCAGGTCAATGGGTAAAGAAAATGCTTAAATTCACTATGATAATGATATTTTAAATAAATTGTGCCAAAAAGCATAAAAAATAAGGGTTTAAGTTGCTAAAAAGTCACATGACTGTGATTGGTTGTGACATCACTGGTTGGGGTGACCTTCCCAGCGGGATTCAGCCAACTGTAGTTGTCCAACCTTCACGACTGATCGGCTCGGTAAATAAATATTATTAGATAATTAATTGTGCATTATTGTGCAATACAGTAATACTATTTTGAATATATAAATATTACTAAGCACATAAACTAATTCAATGGATATTAGCTGCCCATACAACAAATTTCATTGTACAGTATAAACATTCCAAACAATATTGGTATTATTTCGGTTTTGGTCATCTGGGGAACTTTAAGATTCTAACTATGGGTTAACTATGGGATTAAGTACTTTAAACAAAAAGACACATTATCTCTACAGGATTTCTGTCGCAAATTTTTTTTCGATTGCATAAGAAAATACAGATTATAGGTTAGGTTAGGTTAGGGTGTGATGAGTTATAAGGTTAGCTTAACATACATCAGTAAAGGGGAGGGGGGGGGGGGTAGTAACTCAAAGCTAGTTATTTCCGATAGAAATAAATGTCTAAATAGTTCATAACACAATGCAAACCATCAGAAAAAAATATTGTCTGCAAGTCTAAGTACAAGGATGACCAAAACTTAAAATTTACTATCTCGAAACTAAACATCAAAATACTTATGGTAGTTATAGTAAAATCTTACCCATTAATTAATGTAAATGATGATATATCCCAGTGGTTCATGAAACAATAACAGCACTGTGTTGTCATGTTTATCTAGCACCAGTCATTCTCAAAACAAAGCCCAGACAATGTCATTACTTCTAAATTTACTCGTACCTCCATCTAGTTCTGATATACTCTGTAATTGCACTTAAAAAAAAAAGAGAAAGTCTACCAGGTAAGAATACATGACAGATGAGTTGATGCGAACATGGGATTTTTTTATGTCCTAAAGAACATAAGAATGGAGGAAACTGCAGAGGGTTTATTGGCCCATACTGGGCAGTCCCATTTAAACCCAACCCCTATCACTCATACCTGTATATCCATCCAACCTATGTTTGAAGCTGCTTTTCACAGCACATTTCTTCACTTACGAAATGTCCATGACTTAGACCATAAAAAAAACACCCTCAAAACTGGCCCTCCCATTTACACACATTAAGGGCTTGGCTTCCCTACTGCTGCTCCCTCACCAAACACATCCAATCATGTTAATACACCCTCATTACAACTTCAGTTATCTTCTTTGGTCAGTCTCACACTGATCCAGTTCACTTACTATTTAAATCCACTAATAATAGTATGATTAGTTTAACCCTTCAGCTCGAGTTAAAAATAATAATAACAATGTCAAAAAGTAACGCGGACAGAATCCATGTCATTTATCAAAGAACATAAACAAACACAAATAAAATTGAATATATATCTAGCTTATTTATTAGTTTTTTTTACTCATAAAATTAACCTTAATTATTATAAATAAGTGTGAAATACCTGCTATATAAATAATTTTGCTTGAGGTATTATTTTAACATTACATTCCATGATAAGATATCTTTAGATATTATACACAGGTTATGTACTTGAGATTTGCCCCAAGAATCTTAGAACAAATAAGAAATGCTAAATATTCGGCACGAAATATATTAGTATGTAAAATATTAAACTAACTACTGTATATAAAACAATAAAAAATAGGTTTCAAATCTTCTAAATATATATTTATATTATGATTATTAATGATACGGACACATGATATAGTCACTCTATAGGTCTTCCAAAGGTCAGACATCTGAAAAAATTTTGAGACATGTCTTAAGGTATTTAATAATAAGACAATAACATCCCTATTTCATACAAGGAATTTGTCAAGATCTATCATGTGATAGGAATTATTACAATTCATTCCGCAGCACCATACTTTTTAATTAATAACTAACTAATATTAATTTACTTCGATAAATGAATGTTTAACCAGATATTTCAGCTTGTTTTTCATAAAATACAACGAAGTAAAACTACATACCTATAGTTTTATTGATTTACACTGCCATATGCAAATATTTATTCAGAAAATTTTAATTAGTCGTGTACATGGCTGTGATTGGTCGTCTACGACGATCAGACAGTGTAATACTGTACCTGCACCTAGGACAGGTACCCAGAAGGATTACAACGCCTGTAACTTCGTGGTGTAGATTAATTTAGTCTTTTTCTTTTCTATTTTTAATTTCCTTTAACTCAATCCCCCCCCAGGCCCCAGGTGGGCTATTCCCGTAAAAAAAGAAGGCATCGTGTACAGTACACGACGGTAGTTCTTGCATTTGGCCCATAGACGGGCAAGGGATGACCTAATTGAAGTTTATAAACATCTCAGTCGAGTGAAAAGCGGACGTCCGCCCCACAATGGATCACAGTTCAAAAAATAGTGAGGACAAACTTTTTCGGAGTGAGAATTGTAAACTCTTGGAACAAACTACCAGTGTTGTGACGGCACCCAGTGTGACCTGCAAATTTGACCAAAACTAGCGCAGGTACAGATGCACTCAGGAGCCAGTGCATACCCAGTACTTGCCAACAGTACTTGACTGACCGCCCAAGCGCCTAACGAGCTGATCAGTGGCGAAAAAAAATAAAAGTAATGAATAGAGAGAGGACCCGTCCAAGGCCTCCACTCCATTACGTTTTTTTTTTTTGCATTATAGGAACAAGTTGAACAACTGCTTCTGGTTTGGATAATTCGTTAGCCAATGAGAGACAAGTCACAGCCAAAACAATCATGGCATACAAGAAGCGATTTTTACTAATACATTTGAGTTAGATAAAAATCGCGATGTTTCTGTCAACTCCTTGATAAGTGGTGAAATGATAAATTACAGAAAATGAGCACAGGTTCCAGTATTCGATCGGGGTAATTAATTCCTCCCAAAAATGGTTATTGGCAGCCCAGAACTCGAGATTTGATAATACATGTAGCGGCTTTCTTGGGTTATCTATGGTAAAACCGACTTCCTGTCTACTATTGTTTATAAACCTACTGTGTAGCTTACATGCTGTACCACTGTGAACGGTATGACGATTTAACTGAAAAAAATATTTATTTATTTATTTGTCTTTCTCGTATATAATAATGCAAACATAATTGGAGCGAGAGTTGGGAACTTGCTACAGTCTGCCAGAGAGTGTTTGTGAATGGCGCAAGTATCAGATACATTCTGGAGTAAGTACATACCCAGTAGCTGTACTTGCTAACAGTGTGTAACAGAGAGCCAATGCATGCCCAGTGCTTGCCAACAGTATAACAGAGCCAATGCATGCCCAGTGCTTGCCAACAGTATAACAGAGCCAATGCATGCCCAGTGCTTGCCAACAGTATAACAGAGCCAATGCATGCCCAGTACTTGCCAACAGTATAACAGAGCCAATGTATGCCCAGTGCTTGCCAACAGTATAACAGAGCCAATGCATGCCCAGTGCTTGCCAACAGTATAACAGAGCCAATGCATGCCCAGTACTTGCCAACAGTATAACAGAGCCAATGCATGCCCAGTGCTTGCCAACAGTATAACAGAGCCATGCATGCCCAGTGCTTGCCAACAGTATAACTTGCCAACGTATAACAGAGCCAGTACATGCCCAGTACTTGCCAACAGTATAATAGAGCCAGTACAAGCCCAGTACTTGCCAACAGTATAACAGAGCCAGTACATGCCCAGTACTTGTCAATAGTGTGTAACGAAGACGTGACCGACCGGCCTATCAGTTAACAAAAAAAAAAAAAATATCAGTGGCGAAGAGGATAAAAAACCAAAAACATTCATAAAGGCTTCATTATCAAATTGAGACTACCTAAGACGTGTTCCTCAACATCAGTTAGAAGAATTATGCTTTAATAGAAACAGACGACTCAGAATGGACAAGTACTTGGCAAATCAACATGTCATGTAAGATTACAGCTGGAACTGGCTGCTGAGTAGCGCCACGAGCCTGTTTGAAGAAGTACTGCTTATTATGATCGAATTGACGAAGAACTGGGCACACAGGCTTCAAAAGGCTTCATTTACAATAAACGGTGATATGAATAACTTACATAAGTGAGAAAGCTAAATTAGAGTGAGCAGGAAGCGTGAAAAGCGACAGATGAGACGGGGGCGTGAACAAGTGACGACCAGTGACACTCGCGCGTCATTCTTGTTGTTGTGACGACAGTGAGCGATCTTGTTTACCCCCAGCTGTTGAAAAACTTGTTACAACTCCACTGCACGAGTCTTTTAGTGAGTTCATGTCTTAATTGATTGCTGTCTTCATATGTTGATAACACAATAGACGTCAGTGGTTGATAATTTCTAGAGTACAAAATGTGGGGATTTTTTTTAGATTATATGTGTATTAGGTTTCCTTATTCGTAACCTACGTAATAGGGAACAAATTTAATTGTTAATAAGACAAATGTGATGAATTCTGCTTCGTGTTCACGGTGAAAGTAAAAACAAACAAGAATTTCTTATAAATGATTAATTATTTCAAGTAAAAAGGAAATTACTCGCTCATGCATATTAAAGCATTCATACCATTCATAATACAATATATATATATATATATATATATACTGCGTCAGAGAGCAGGTGTAAGTTGACCCGTTGTAAGTGTAGCCATCACAAACCACCTTCCTCTTGAGAAAATTTGAATTAACTAAATCATGGAGGTCAATGGAGAATGAGTGGAATTACCAAATTTTAGATCGAAATTTATAAATGTGTATGTTAGGCGAGAGAGACAGTGTGACAAAAGGATGTGGAGCTTAGATAGTGCTATCTGTACCGGAAACAAGTTACACATGGGGGAACGCCACGCATTAAAGAAAAATAGGTTAATATTTTAAGTTTTACATAGACTTTACTATTCGTTAAAGTTTGATATAGATAATCATTTCACTTAACACTTAAACATTTATAGTAATTTATATGATAGTTGATATTTTTAATCGTTAACTTTAGGCCTAATTACCTTAATTTTACCCACAATTTGTACAAGGTGACTATTATAGTACGAAGAGTTTGAATAACCTTGCATATAACATGTTCCAACATTAACTAACATAACGAAGAGTGATTATTTTGTTTTAATATTTAAAAAAAAACTACGCAAGTCATTTGTAGTATTAGAATTCAACAGAAATTTAAATATGATAAATCTGTAATCGTGACTAGGTTCCTGCGTATATTAAAAATTACTTCACCTAACCTAACCTACCCTAAGCGTCAGTATTTTAATTGGGTTATTTCCTTAGATTCAATTCCACTGTTGGTACTTTGTGTTGTTTATATTTTCAATTGGTAAGAACTGTGGTGGTGGTTATATGTGGGCAACTTACGCTTCTTGACGCATGGGTAGGTAAACTCATAATAGTATTCACTCGTGGAGAAATATTTGTTCACACACAGGAACTTCTAAGAGACTGACCGTCCGTCACTACGTCACTACGCTATACCTTGTCCAGTCTGAGTCACTGCACAGACGTTCAGTTGACTTTTATCGGTAATATTTGTTATATTTTTATTCTCCCTACTTGACTTTTTTCACGAATATCCCGGTTAATGCTACGTTAAGGTTCTTTTATATTCAATATCTTTTATTTCTCCAATACATATGGGGGGGGGGGGCTACTGAGAGTATTTGCTTCAATAGTTGATGCACAGAAATACAGATAAACAACATAACCGGAGCAATTGCTGGTGTATGGTACTGTATTGTATTATACAACAAAAAATATTACTGTTGTATTATACAACATAAACATTACTGGTGTATGATACATCTTCAACCCATATTTGTGTACAACTTTGAAGGCATTCATTAGGTTAAACATTTATCATTTCCTTTAAAAATTACAATAATCTTGTTTTCGTGTTTCAGGTGTGACAGTCTCGTCTTGCACTCATTGCTGGTGCTGGAGTGGGCGAGGATCAGTGTGAAAGAAACAAAGGAATGAAGATATCCGTGTATTTTTAGGTAAGGAAATTAAAAAAAAAAGTTAAATAATTTCGGATATTCCCCTGAAAGATGGTCAGTGATATTCCATGTGAAACTATTAACGTGAAACATGATCCATAAACCATGTGAGACAGATCATGTGAGACAATAAAATCCATATGCAACAATTATCGTGAAACATATAATGATGACCATGTGAAACAAGTTATTTCTAAACACAGTGTGAGGCGATGTTGACTATGAGGATGGCAGAGTATGAGGGAGGTGGAGGGAGTCAGGAGGGGAAGATGGAGGAGGGGGACGTGCTGTTGTCTCGCCTCCGTCAGCTGAACCTCATTCTCAGTGAGTGTCGCTGGAGGGTGGAGCAGGTTGACCACCACGTTCATACACTCCACACACAACCTGGAGGCGCCCACACACACTCTGGCGACAGCCACGCCCTCCCCACATACTCTGAGGACACCCATGCTCTCCCCACAAACTCTGAGGACACCCATGCTCTCCCCACAAACTCTGAGGACACCCATGCTCTCCCCACACACTCTGAGGACACCCATGCTCTCCCCACACACTCTGAGGACACCCATGATCTCCCCACAAACTCTGAGGACACCCATGATTTCCCCACACACTCTGAGGACACCCATGCTCTCCCCACACACTCTGAGGACTCTCAAGGCCTTCAGACTCGCTCTGTGGACTCCCTAACGGACCTTGAGGTTCAAACACACGGTGGAGATTCCCTCTGTACGTCGCAGGAGCCCTCTAGTGCTCCAAGGGACCAGCAACTAGAAGATGATAAAGGAAAAGAAGGAAAGAGTAAAAAAGAAGAAATCCAGACGAATAAATCGGTACTGAAAGACCTTGTGTCGGAAGTGAAAGAGGCAGAGGAACATCTAGTACAGACGGAGTGGACGGTGGTCAGTGGGGAGTTGCTAGAAGTCTTCGAGGTCACCAACGACGGAGTTGAAGAAGAAAGTTTAGAGGACGACGCTGGAGGTGCGTCAGGAAGCAGATGTCATGAACCTGAGGTCAAGCGACAACAACGGATGAAGAAACAAGGAAACATTGAGTTGGACGATTATGAACCGACGGGGTGTTACCTGTGTATAACCCCAGAGACACGACACACTCGCCACGCTGAAGAATCTCAACTCTTCAGAATTTCCAGCTGTCCAGACTTACGACTGCTGGAGGACGAGGAAGCAAAACTCGCTGTACCGGGAACACCATCAACATCTGTCTGCGATTTAGTGACTCACTCTGACACTACAAGCTATCGGCAATTGTTTCGACAGTCAAGTCAAGCTGAAAGTGAGGATGGACTAATTGAGGATAAAATAATACATGCATTCTCTCGGAGTCTTTGTACTTCTTCTCAGGACATTAACCAGAGATTAGAGACGGCGGTCAAGGAGCTGGAGCGCCTCATAGTGTCCTTCATCTCCCTTCAGAAAGACTTTGGATATTCTCAAATGACCGAACAGCAGCATCAAGATGGTCAGCCAAGCTTCTCACATATTCCCCAGGAGGTGGCGAGAACTCTTGACCCTCGTAGTGTTGTGGTGCAGAAGGACCTCAGTAATGCCTTTGAAGCTGTACTTGACGTGGCACCGACGGGAGGCTTGATGGGTGCCTCACGTCAGCACCACTCACACCTCGCCCACCCAGAGTCTCCGGATGGTGAAGACTACACGACTGCACGCGGAGGTGTAAGCAGAGAAAATTTCCCAGAAAAACCTGATCCAGTCAACGATAGCCAACAGGACCCAGGACCAGCGAGTGCCAAGCCTTACGGAGGGAGGAGACAGGAGCTGAAGGACTCTCTAACCACCGTGATGGTAATATTCCTTCTGCTGTTTGGGCTTCTCTTCCTCGCCTTCTGTCTCCTGCTTGTGGTGCCCGTCATCACCGTCTCCGTCACCACCACTGGGAAACCTCACGTCTTCTAAGGGCCCCATCACCTGCACCCAACCCCGCGCCTTCCAGTGTGCCACGAAAGTTGCTGGAGATCATCTTACACCGTCTTAACACCAGGGACCTGCGATATAAAGCACTAACAGTTACGTGTCTTATTGATAAGTTGAACTGGAACACCTGCCCCTCTAAATCTGAATTAATTACGATTGATTTTCCTTTATAGTGTATTCCATGATCTTACTCTGTGAGACAATATGACACAACTTATGATTGTGAGAATTAAACCATTGTGACTTGAAGATGAGAACGTGGTGGTGAGCAAATGTATCTGATTTGTAGAAAGGACAGTTTGACACATAAGGTGAGATGCATCTAATGTTGACATCCAGTATAGAGATATGTAATGATAAAATGACTCTCCAACTACGGCCTTAATTCCCTGAACACTTGGCAATATCTAGTTCCGCTTTATGTGTTTAGTTTACAGTTGTGAACTTTGCTCTTCGTTATCAATTGTGTTAAATAGGAACTTATAAAATACTGCTTCAAACAACGAAAATATGAAATAAACAGATGCTAAAGTTGTAACCCTCTCACACCTACACGACCCTTAAATAGATGTTGTACCAGATATTAACAACAAGTGTTCGGGGAATTTTGTCCGTTTCTGTACAAGTCTTGAATTAAGATCTGATAAATACTTTGTAAGTTAATTGTGTTTTTATTGAACATTTTGTTAAGATACTTTTTAATGGTACAATAAATAATTAGTAATTAGATATTTGTCTTTGTGTATATACATATATAGTGTGTGTGTGTGTGTGTGTGTGACATTTATAACGATCATGTGGGTACAAAATCACCACAGTACCATTATTGACCCCTCCCCACCCCTCTCCTCCTCCTCCCTCCCTCTCCCCCCTCCTCCCTCCCCTCCCGAGCAGAACACAAACATAACTTTTCCTCCTGTAGGTGACGGGAAGAACACTCACAACACAGCCACTACGGTAATAATAACTTTTCTTTGAGACATACGAGAGGCAAGTCGATAAACCCTGGTAGCTAACGTCACGCGGGTCGCTTGCTTGCCGTCACACCGTAGCACTCAACACAAGTCTGGACCTGGGGAGGGGTGTTGGGGGAGTAGTGGTGGTGGTGGGGATATAGTAGTACTGGTGGTGCCGTGGTGGTAGTAGTAGGAGTAGTGGTGGTGGTGTTAGTAGTAGTAGTAGTAGTAGTCATAGATCTGCGGCTCAACTAACTCAACACAGCGAGGATAGCTACTTATGTATTAGGATATTTAATTTTAAGGTAATAAAATGGTGGCGAAGGTGTGGCTATTGGGGGAGGATGGAGGCCATTATTATATAAAAAGAAGAAAAAAGTATTAGTAGTAGTAGTAGAATTAGTGGTAGTGGTGGTGGTGGTGGTGGTGGTGGTGGTGGTGGTGGTGGTGGTGGTGGTGGTGGCTGGGATAGTGGTGTAACACGTGGTATGCAGTGGGGGGTCCTGCACCACCTCGCTAAGCCACTGCAACACTCCTCCTCCCTCCCTCCCTTCCACCTTTCCCCTCATCCCCTCCCTCCTCTCCCCCTCCCCTCCCTCAGTATAAAATAACATGCAACACCACTGTAAAAATTCTCAATGGTCACCATTATCTGAAATCACGAACGCTGAGACTTGTGGTGACTCACCTGGTGACCAGGTGAGTTGATATGGATACCTGGTGACTCCCACCCTCTTTTCTTCCCTCTCCTCTTTCCCTCCGCCTCCCCTCTTTCCATACATCTCTATTTCCCCCCTCTCCTCTTTCCCCCTTCCTCTTGCCCTCCCTCTCTTTCCTCCCCTCACGCCCTGCCCTCTTTGCCTTGCCTTCTTCTTATCTCTTTATTTATCCCTCCCCCCTCCACCTCCTCGTATCTGCCCCTTCCCTCTTCTTCCTCTTAAAATACCCTTCCTCTCTCTCCCCTTTCCTACGCCTTCTTGCTTCCTTCCTTCCTTGCTTCGTTCCTTCCTTCCTTACTTCCTTCCTTCCTTCCTTCTTTCCCCTCCCTCATTCCCTTCTTTTCCTGTACTCACGAATACAGCAGATATGCAAGTGTGCGTGAGAGGGGTGTGTCAGGAATGTGCGAGAGGGGTGAAGGGGGGGCAGTGCAGGTGCAGGCAGTTCTGCGGTAGTGAGACAGGTCAGACCACGCCAGATCGCCACCAAATGTACAGCTGCTCCTCTCACCTACACCTCTTACACCCCACCTACACCCACACCACCTCACCCACACCCCACCTCTCCCCCACACCCACACCCCACACCTCACCCACACCTCACCTACACCCCACACCCCTCACCCACACCCCACACCCCTCACCTACACCCCACACCCCTCACCTACAGCCCTCACCTACACCCCACAGCCCTTACCTACACCCGTCAACCCAGGCTGCTAGTATTGTGTATAATTTTGTGTGTGGATAATCGGTGGCGTAATATTTCCAGTGTGGATACTCAGTAAATGTGGATATTCAAGTGATTTGGATATTCTTGTGTAGATATACCCGATAATACGAAGAGCTACCCGCCCCTCAAGTGTAAACATTGGATAGTGTGGATGCTACTTGGATACCCAGTGTGGATTCTTGAAAGAGCAATTATTCAGGAGTGTGGATAAGTATATACCAACAGTGTGGATAATATTTACGTGGGATTTACAGCTTACACTAGTGAGCAGGTATGTATAGGTATGTGGCTGAGTATTGACGTGTGAGGTGTGTGGATATTGACGTGTGAGGTGTGTGGATATTGACGTGTGAGGTGTGTGGATATTGACGTGTGAGGTGTGTGGATATTGACGTGTGAGGTGTGTGGATATTGACGTGTGAGGTGTGTGGATATTGACGTGTGAGGTGTGTGGATATTGACGTGTGAGGTGTGTGGATATTGACGTATGAGGTGTGTGGATATTGACGTGTGAGGTGTGTGGATATTGACGTGTGAGGTGTGTGGATATTGACATGTGGGTGTGAATATTGACGTGTGAGGGTGTAAGTCGTGGTTACTGACGTGTGGGTGTGGGGTGTGGGTACTGACGTGTTGGGAGTGGATATTGATGTGTGGGGCGTGGATAATGACATGTGGGTGTGTGTATTGATGTGTAGGGGTGTGAGGTGTGGTTGTTGGCATGTGGGGTGTGGATATTGACATGTGGGTGTGGGTATTGATGTGTAGGGGTGTGAGGTGTGGTTGTTGACATGTGGGATGTGGATATTGACGTGTGGGTGTGTGAGGTGTGGGTACTGACGTGTGGGTGTGTTAGGTGTGGGTATTGACGTGGGTGTGTGAGGTGTGGGTACTGACGTGTGGGTGTGTGAGGTGTGGGTACTGACGTGTGGTTGTGTGGAGGTGTGGGTACTGACGTGTGGGTGTGAGGTGTGGGTACTGACGTGTGGGTGTGTGAGGTGTGGGTATTGACGTGTGGGTGTGTGGAGGTGTGGGTACTGACGTGTGGGTGTGAGGTGTGGGTACTGACGTGTGGGTGTGAGGTGTGGGTACTGACGTGTGGGTGTGTTAGGTGTGGGTACTGACGTGTGGGTGTGTGAGGTGTGGGTGTGTGAGGTGTGGGTACTGACGTGTGGGTGTGTGAGGTGTGGGTACTGACGAGTGGTGTGTGGGTATTAACATGTGTGTGTGTGTGTGTGTGTGTGTAGGTGTGAATACTGAACTGTTGGTTGTGGTGCGGGAGAGGATGCGGGTAGTACAGTGGGTGCGGATGGTAGCAGTACTATGTGTAGCGTCGATGGTGTTGGTCTCTTGTTGTTGGCGTCTCCTTACTCACAACTACTCCCAACAACTCTACCACAACCACAACCTGACCGAGATAGACTACAACCATCAGGATTATTATAACAGTGACCATGTAGACGACAAACGCACTCACACACAACATAACGTCAGGGGACAAGGTGACAGGGATACCATTAGTGACTCTACCTCGACGTATTATCAGAGGAAGTTTGTTTACATCAACAGACAAGACGGGAGTAAGAAGGTACACGTATATAATCAACACAGCCAGATACATGATAAAGACACCTATTCATATGACAAAAACAGCGAGGTATATAACACAAAAGAACAAAAACATGACAAAAACAACCAGATTTATGTCACAAAAAGACTTATTCATGACCAAAACAGCTTCACTATTGACACAAGCCACCAGGTAGATGACACTTATGACCAGACAGATACAGAGTTTGTGCAGGGAGATGCTGGTGACGAGGACGATAGCGAGGAGGAGGAACAAGGGGAGAAGTCACCTCGAGTCATCCTGCTGTTGGGTAGTTGGCGCAGTGGGTCGACCTTCTTGGGGGAACTCCTGGCCACGGCCGTCCAGGACACCTTCTACAGGTAATTGTTACAACTCACCTATTTATTAATTAATAGATCCATGTAATCTATCAGGTACGTTCATTCTGGCTACCTGGGACCCTGACTCACACAACTCAGCATCAGGCGACGTTTATCATATCATTACTGTACTGCTATACACAAGTTGCGTCTTCATTGTATTTCTATTTAGTAATACAGGACATTATTCTATCCTTAGCATCATAACCGGACCACCCAGCGTTATTAAATATCGAATTATGTACCGTACTATAAATTGACCCATGATCTATATAGTGTTTCGGAATGTTCACTAAAATAAGTGTCCCCGCGTGTTACAGCTACGAGCCTCTACACCCGTGGAAGATAAAGGTGTTGTATGATGATGACAACACCACGCAGGCCGCCGTCACCTTCCTCAAGGATCTGTTCCACTGCCGCCTTGAACAACATGAGCAGCAGGTCTCCTACATGGCCAGCCAGCACTGGTACCTGCGCTCGAACACTCGCCTCGCCTCCCACTGTCACTACCAGCAGGGGGACAAGCCAGAACAGCAGCAGCAGCAGGGGGACAAACCAAAGCAGGAGGAACATCAGCAGAAGCAACAGGGAGAACATCAAGAGAGGCAGCAGCAAGAAGAGACCTCCTCTTCCTCCTCTTGCTTCAATGCCTCCTTCGTCAGCCAATTGTGTCGCAGCTCCCGCCTCCACGTAGCCAAGGTTAGTGTGTACAGAAACTACACCTCAAATTATATAACTGAACTGATTAGGTTAGGTTAAGTTAAGTTAAGTTAAGTTAAGTTAAATTAGGTTAGGTTAGGTTAGAGTATTGTGCCAACTTTAAACCCCATAAAGACATAGTTGTAACATAGCTATATACTGTAACTCACATCCAATAGTGTCCAACATCTGATAAATTAATAATAACATCATTCCTTTTAAGTCATTACTATTACATGTTACTCCACACGTCCCCATAAGATGACCTCCTGCCCTTAGGTGTTGAGACTCGGCCTGCAGTGGGTGGTGCCGTTACTTGAGGAGAAGCTGGACCTACAAGTGGTTTACCTGGTGCGTGACCCCCGAGCTGTCCTCAGGTATACCTCCTCACGACCCCTTTGTTATTATTATTATTATTATTATTATTATTATTATTATTATTATTATTATTATTATTATTATTGTTGTTGTTGTTGTTGTTATTGTTTTCTCAAGTAGTTGGCGAATTAAAGGCGGTAGAGTTTCAGGCCTATCACACTGCTGTTGGATATATCTGTATTTAAAAGGTTAAGGTGATGACTGGTGCCCCTTTTGAGAAACTTTTAGGCCCGTTACTGACCATATACAGTTGAAGTAGAGTCCCTGTGTTATTAGGAGGTCGGGATGTAACCTTTGTTCTTTTGTTTAAGTCTTACAGTTAGGTACATTGTTACGTCTTGATCAACCAGGAATATTCATCACACGAAGATTATTCATTACACGAAGGTTTGAAAATCTGGAGGGTGGTCAATGATCGATCACCAGCGCACAAGATTAGCGAAAACTTTTATTGCTCGACAGCCTGCAGTACTTGCGACCTGGTGGACGCTTATCGATATCCAGTGCTAAGATTCTTGATAATGATTTTCGTTATTTTTTGGGATCAATAATACTTAATGACCTTACGCTGCAGTTCAATAGCCATGACATGGTTAGATTGAACTACAGTCCTAGTCTGTGTTGGTGGTACAGCGGTAATGCGTGTATCTCACCAATATATCACTGCTTGGCCCGGACACACGCGAGAGGGGTGTTATCCAGTCTGACCCTCACTGCCAAATATCACAGATTTCTCGGCCTCTTATTACCTTCTGTACTAACACAGGATAGAAAAAAAACTGAAAATAATGATAAGTTTATTCGTAACTAAATAATTCAATAAACAATATTTTGATCAATATAAGCCGTAGGTTGTTTTTCTTCTATAAATTCGTTTTATATGAATGTTTTATATTTTGATATATATGGACAGTTCCCGGGAGCGAGTGTCGTGGTGCAGCTCCCCGACCTGCAGGGATCCAGCCTATATGTGTCCTCACCTCTACCACGACCTTCTCCTACTACCCCAACTCCGCCACCTGTACCCTGACAGGTGAGTCCTCCACCACCTGTACCCTGGTAGGTGAGTCCTCCACCACCTGTACCCTGACAGGTGAGTCCTCCACCACCTGTACCCTGACAGGTGAGTCCTCCACCACCTGTACCCTGACAGGTGAGTCCTCCACCACCTGTACCCTGACAGGTGAGTCCTCCACCACCTGTACTCTCAGATGATTTACTCCCATCCCCTCTCTCTGTGTAGACCTATCAGTCACAAAAATGTCTCTCACTCACAGATTCAAGATGGTGCTGTACGAGTCACTCCTTAAGGACATCAATGCTTCACTGAGGGAACTGTACTCCTTTCTGCGTCTCCCTCTGCCTGAGAAGCGACTGCTCTTGCTGACAGCCTCCAGCCAGGGGTCCCCCCTCAAGAGGTTAGACCAGGTGTCCAGTCACGCCCGGGGGACCTACGGCACCACCAGGATGCTCGACAGCCAGGCATATTTGTGGCGCTTCTGGACTCCCTACAAGAAGATGGTGACGTACCAGACCCACTGCAGCAGAGTGATCAGGTTCCTGCGGCTCAGGCTGTTTACCTCCTCCACCCAGTACCACAGCATTTCCCGCTACCCCGTCCTCCTCCCACGCCCACCCCAACACGCCCTCACTTCCTGAAGACGTCCATGTCTCCTGATGCCATGTCCACCTCCACGTCTCAGCATTACATCACACGTGACTACTCCACTCATCAACCCACGTGTGACCATGTCCACATCTCCACTGCCTAAAGCCGCCCACAACTCGCCCACCCTTACATGACTACGCCTGCACCTAGCTCCCCGCCATTGCCTTAGTACGCTCATTCCACAGAGATAGCCACGCCCACATCACATATTCAGGTGCCAGATGATGTGATAGCGTGTGACTGTTGTGTTGAGGGTCACAAGTTTCTTATGATGTCATCGCTGTGATCAGTAAGTCTTTCTGCCGTGTGTACTACCATGGTTAACTAGTAGATACTGCGACCCCTAAAGTGCTTTTTAAAATTATTCTACAAGTATAATCTGTTATTATTCATTAGATTTTTAATTCTCATGTACGAAAAATGCTTTCCTCGATGTTTTTATATATATTTTTCAGTGAGATGAAATTAATTTTCGTAAATGAAGATTAAGAACTGAATAATTAGTAAATTGTTTTTATAGTCTTAATTAAGCAGGTGTTGCTGTACTTAATAATTACTCCTCTATATCATGACAGGTATAGGAGCGGTGCTGTGCCTCTGTGAACTGTACAAGTAACTCAGGGTATAGTGATCAAGGCTTAGACTACACATTAGGATTGTTGCTCACGATAATATACGGATCTCATGAAGATTAGAAACCTCAACTTATTTCACCAGATGACTAAACACCCACATAATAACCTAACCTAACCTGACCCCACCGCACCCCATCCCCTTTAGCGTTAGGGTGTTTATCAATCATCAGGAGATAATAAACGGAGGTTCCAAATCGTCATGTGATCCTTTGAGTAAGTTGTTTTTAATAATATAAATCTTATACAGTAGAAATGACTAAGGTCGACTGGTTCATTTCTCCCCTTGATTTTTGCTCCAGTTTTGCTGTTATTGCCTCTGCCTGTATAAGACTGTCCGGATCAAAGTACCTCCATCCATTTATTAAGCTGACTCGCCACATGGGTGACTACTGACTAGTGAACCACTTATACACTTTTTGCCACCTATTAACTGAACTGTGAAGATGTAGGAGCGTATACTGTCCACCCTGTGTAAGGTCATCTCCCTGACCTGATATATTGATGTAGACTTTACAATAATGCACATGGGTTGAAATGATTCCCCGCTTCCTGTACTGCCATAATTATGTGGATCATAACATTATTTATATCTTCTACAGTTCCTGCTTAATTATCTCTTCCTTATTATACTCATGTTATAAATGAACGAAATACGAAATGAAGTTTTACATTTAATAACTTTAACTATGTAAACAACTGGATTGACTTCTTAGTAAAACGGATGAAAATGCAATCCGAGTTTCCTCTGGTGATTTTTATTATCCTTTTATATATTTCTAATTAAGATTTATAAATCAGATACACGCACCATCCCTACATGGAAATCTTAAACTAGTGTATGTATAAAAATATTCGCGGAAAAACAAAACTTAACAGCTAACCCTATGATACGTGGCAACCGCATGTGCTACGCCCACTTCCCATAGTAGTGTTTCTCAAGCAAAATAAGAAAGAACAACCCTCAAAAGAAAAAAAAAACATGTAAGAATAATGCAGATTAAATATTAGATAATTATGGTAGTATATAAATAAACACTGCAATCAATTAACTAATTTTAATTAATAGAATCGTGACACGTTACTGAGAAATCCTACATCATAGACATGTAAATACAACTTCCGTTTTCTTCGTATCCTTTTAACTCCAGTGTAATATTTCAATTCAGTTGCCTTGGAGACTAAAGACACTATCGCTATTACAGATTGGACGTTGAAATTGAGATAATCTGTATGTTGGTGTTACAGTGAAGTGTGTAGTACAGTGTTAAATTAGTGGTTAACGGGTGATACATGTTGACATATTGTACAAGACTCGTATTGTTATTAACTATCATGGGAGTGATTTCGCCGGTATTGGGATTGTGTTTTGATAGGGATGATTGGTGTCGTCAATAATTACCCCTGATATATTAAAACAAGTCTTATAATAAACTCTTGTACACTGGTAGTATACTGTCACTTTAGTACTGTGTCGACAGGTAGAGTTCTGTAGTGGTTTGTGTCAGTTCGTTAAAAGTGCGGAAATTATGCCCTAATTGTCATGTTCTCGGGCCTTTTACAGTCTATTAGGTGCTAGTCAAATAAAATATTAAAAGTGACGTTCTATATTTGAGGTTAAATGAAAACCCTTAAGAAAGCAAACCATTATAAAGACTCACAGAATTATATATGTTTATCAAATCCCTGAATCTGGGTGATCTTGTAATTCGTATCAATATTTTACTATTATTATGGATTAGTCAAACCTAATGTAATCCGATCTGTTGATTGTATGTTATGTCTTTGTGAGGTTAGGGGTGAAATTGTACTTTCAGTAAGCTTACCATCATTACCAGTTTAAATTAGTTTTCTTGGATTTGTTTTATACTTCCATCTTTGGATGAACCAAGTAAGGTACCAGTATTACAAGAAAAGAATTTTGTTATTAAAATATTATTTAGTTTTCAAAATCCAACAGAGAGATTTGGTAATTGTCAAGAGTGGTCTGACACAAGCACCAATTTTTCCATAGAAGATAAAAAAGCTTTCTTACCTTAAGAAATTGACAAAAAATGCAGGTGAAATATGTTTTACATAATTTCACTTTTACAAATTTTTATTAAAGCTTTCCATCTCCATAGGAACTGCCTAACCTAACCTAATCTAAAGTATCCAGTTATTTCTCTTTTGTGCCTCTAAAATAAGATAATTTTCCTTTTTTAAGATACCTACAGCTACATTGTATAATTAATCATTCATAAATTGATGGAAACTAACCTAACAAACCTAAACTAACCCAACTTCTATGTTTATTTTCTATTTTATTATTTTATTCTAAAATATATAATTCCTCTGCAAAAAACATTCTTATATAGTCGTCTAAATGTGGTATGCATGGCAAGGTCATGCTTGCCGTGTTCTACCAATTTTCGACGTAAAAATTATATACAGTAATTACGCAAAATTCATTCCTCCTACATTTATTGTAATTTTCTTGAGGCAAGAAGGTTTATATTTTCTATGGAGAAAATTCCTCAAGTTGGTGCTAAGGCTGGACCACTCTCGTCAACTATTACCAAGTTTTTGCTCAGTTCAAATTGTAACATGTTTTTGTTCTAAGAAGGTATGGTAGCTAACTCAATCAACCTAACCTAATCTAACTCATTGTTGACATTACTACTGCGCTTCAAGTATAAGGTTTTTTAATTTTAATAAACATTGGGTAGAGCGATCCAGACCAAATTAGCACACTTGGAGATGCAATTGCCAGCCCACGTGGTTAGTGGAAGGAACTTAGGTGGTTGATAGGGCCGGTCCACTGTACCTACCGGGTATGTTTCTTCTTACGGGATGGATGCACCAGCACAGAAGCACTTAGCGACACAATTTTTGTTGAAAGACCTTTAGAGGGTTAAGCACATAACATGGTTGCTGGTAGTAATGTCCCACTCATCTAGGAATAATATACAGTATATATATATTTTTTTAGATATAACTCTGTGTTCAACCTAACCTATCAAAGAATATTAATTTGATAAATTAGGTATGGTTAATTAGATTAAATTGTTTAACCAATTTTATGAAAACCACAGTACTGCAGCTACCATAATGGATTTGTGTTTCCATGATGGTCAAGGTTTGCTCGGACTGCAATATTTTTTTACCCTTGATTTCTTTTGACTTGATTAATTCTTATTAGGTGAAAACTTTCTACAATAAGAATTACTTACTGTGGTTAAGTAAAATATGTTAAGTGTATATGGTAAAATTGCAGATTACAGCAACCTAACCTAACCTAACCCAATCTAACCTAACCTAACCTAACCTAACCTAGCCTAGCCTAACCTAACCTAGCCTAACCTATGGTCATAGAAAAAAATAGTTCTATTGATTGAGTGTAGTGAATTTCCGGAATTTTGTGGTTGCTGTTTACTGCAATATTACCTTGTATATAGGCTTGGCCATACAGTTCTGTACAGTATTTGATGATTTTGACCATATACTGTACAGGTATAAAAAGGGAAGGTGTGATACTATAAATTATTTATAGTATCACACTGGTCTTTATTTCGATATTAAAATTAGGTTTTTTCCTATGTATATTGATGAATTTCTAACGAATTTGACATTCATTTCCACCGAAAATCACGTGTTTTTCAGATAACCCCCCCCCCCACCATACATCCTGTGGTGGTAGGCAGCTACCAAACAGGGAGGTACTACCGCCTGGGAAGATATTGGCAGCATAATGTGTTGTCTAATGGTAGACCCTGCTGCCATATGTGACCAAGTCCCAGGTTGCTGATCTGACTTTCTGCTTCATTTACACACAATTGTAGGGTCTCAATTGTTTCTATTACATGACAAAACAACATACATATATAGCATTTCTCAATGTTGATTTTTTTCATTCTTGCATTTCTTTGTATGTATTATTATCACAGTGTTATTATTATTATTATTATTACCATTAATATTTTGTTTTACTTTTTATTATAAATTTTATTTACTATGAATTATTATTATTATTATTATTATTATTATTATTATTATTATTATTAAATTTTCGCCCCCTGGGCCCTGATGTGGGTCAGTGACCTGTGCCCGGGTGGGCTAATCCCCGTAAAAAAAAAAACAAAAAAAAAAACATACATCCATAACGGTCAAGGCAAGCAGATGGCCACCTCTCCATGTTTATGTGCTTTGGTGAAATAAAACAACTCCCACTAAACTCCAGTATGTCTGATTTACTGGAAAGGACTACCTAAGCCAGACTCCATTCCCCCTAAAATGAGATACAGTACTGTTTAGTACATATACAGTACTGTAGTTCAGTGTTGGTTTAATTAGTTGGTTTGTTAAAAAATGCAATAGGTAAAAAATTCAATCTTTTTCACATAGGTAGGCAGACTATAAGCACTGTACACACAAATAAATGTTCTAGTTAAGTTACATTCCTGGCAAATGTAACAATTTCCATTCTGTAAGGTAACATCAAATCAAGAAATATGACAGTAAGCTATGACATACCTCTTACTGTACTAGGTTGGTTCTAGTTTGTTTGGTTCTTGCCAGAAAAGTTTGGTTGGTACATGTACAATATATCAAGTTCCAGTAGGTTCATTTTATATGCTGTAGTATGAGACTTTGATGGTTCTTATACAGTACTTCTTTACTGTATTATAGTTTTGAGGTCATGATGTTGGAAAGTTTCTAAAAAACGACATACATATTGTGAGCAAAAATTTTTAAAGCTGGTTTTATGATGGTTTAATAATTCTTAAAAGTGGAGGCTAGTAATTAAAGATGCTTTCATAGCCTCACTAGAAGACAATTTCTTCTGCAGAATTGTTACACTTTTTTATTGTAGGAATTTAGAACCATAAATATGAATATTCTATACTAGTTTGAATTATACCGAATGGACAGTAGCTACTGTACATACAAAATGGAAGATAAAAAAGTGACATGATGACCTCAGACCTGTGAGACTATAGCATTACTATACTGTACTGTGAAAGATGGCATGATTATTAGTGTATGAATTGTTTAATTTATCAGTTATTAAACCTTTGAAATATTGATTGGCGTGGCTGGTTAAGGTGTAGAGTTGTATAATTGGGTGACGTGGCGCTGGTGGGTGATGACACGTCTGGCTATGTTGGTCACATCTCGGGGGATCAAGTGCCACTGGTGGGGGGGCCCCTCTTATCTCTCCTGTCTTCAGAGTTTACTTAGTCAGATAAGGGAGAAGGCAGATAGATTCACTATACAGTACAGCATTCTTATATTCCTTGTGTACAGTTTGAATAGTTTGATGACGGTAAAATAAATAGATTTTTTTAGTTACGTTTTAAGACTGTGACTAGGCCAGCCTTATCAAATGACTTTGCCATGTATGATGTTAATTGGCATCCGAGACGAGGCAGTATAGGCTATAAGTGATTGACAAGTGATGTGAAAATGGACCTAATAGTCCGCCACATTGAACAATTGGTAGATGGTAGTGGCTGGACGCCGGGAGAGGTCGAGGTACTCAGTGTGTGTAAGTCGTTCATACTGATAACTCAGATTATTATGACCTCGCCTCTATTCCTTCACAAATCAGGTCGAAGATCTAGTGCAGTTGTGTGACATTTTGTTTTGTGAATGAACTCTGGTGGGTTACACTGAGGTGACTCTGGGAGTGGTCATTCCCTCTCCAGGTGTCTCGTGGCTCCAGTAGTGGCTCCTTCAGCGTCTCCCTCCACCACT